TTTTTTTTTTTTTCAATTTCAAATTTTATTTCATATGATAACAACAAAACTAAATAAATCTATGGAAAAAACGCAGTGAAACGCAAAGTCGCATAAAAAAAAAAAAAAAATTCATTTTAAGAAAAAGAACCAACACCTTTTTTAACGGATTATATTATTTATTATATTATTATTTAAAAGGTAAAGAATAAAAAAACCAGGGAGGAGGTCCCTTTAAAATAATGAAATTCTTATGAAGGAAAAGAAAAAAATATTATAAATGATAAATGGTTTCAAAGACTCATTTTAAAAAAATCCATGCTAATCCATTCATCATAAATTTATTTTTACCACTGCTACTGATACTGATAGAAGATCGAATCGGAATTATGTGGGTAATATAAATTAAGGAATTATTGAAACTATTGTATATATTATACATTATATTATTTATAAATATTGTTATATAGGGGGAATGTAGGGGAAGGGGCTTTAAATCTTAATATAAAAAAATTTTTTTATATTATTTAACTGGATTTTTGGTACGACATCTTGGCAAATGTCAATAAAGTAATATATATTACTTTTTTGAGGTTTTTTAGCCTCTAAATTATTAAATTGGAATAAATTAAATTAGCTACATAAATGTTTAGTACGATAAGACATGTCGAGGATGTCAACATTTATGTACTTAAATCAGAAGAAAAAAAAAATTTTGATTTATCTTTATTTGAATAATTTTTTTGGCTGATCGGAGAGTTCCCTAACTTCCCTTTATAAATAAATAAAAAATAAAAAATAAATAATAAATGAATGATGTTATCTTCATAATCAGTGTTACCAAATATTTAATAAGCATGGCAGCATGGATTCGATTTGTTATGTATATGCAATTATGTATGATATGTATGACTTGATATATGAGTTGCTTTTTATTTGTGGAGAACAAGAAAAAAAAAAATAGATGCACTGATACACCACATTTTACTTAACCATTTACAATATTTACATTATTTTAAACTTACTTATTGTGTGATAAGATTGTTGTAAATCTTCCCCATTTTTTTTTCATTTTTTTTTTCGCCTCATGACATAAATAATAAAATTGATGGATTACGACTATCACGTGCATATTTTAACTCAGGGTATTAGCTAGTTTTATCAATTTCCCGGATTTAATTGACTAGAAGTTTTATTTTTCCGGATAGATCTACGAAAATATAAAAATAAAACATTGTAGCCTCAAAATCAGCCAAATTTTTCATACTTTTTGAGGAACTTGGAGATATATAAAAAGTACACGTGATAGAATTATACAAGTCTACGTAAAAAAAAAAAAAACGTTTTTTTTTGAGAAGATTACAACGGATAATCAAAGATAATCGGTATCGATTTCGTTATTTCATGTTCATGGTTTTAATTATGATAAAACTTTAAAATTATGAGTAATGATTGAGTGATTTTTTTTTTTTCGGTCGATAGTCACATGATTTTTATAAAGTTCAATGTTATCGGACATTCGGAATTATCGGTCTTAGTTTATTTAGTTTTTCTATGTACTTCCATATTTGAATGATTTGATTTGAAATAAAAAAAGTTTTCCCCGGTATTTTCTTGAAAGTTTTTTTTATTTGTGGTCATTAGGTTATTAGCAATAGGGCCTTGGCATTTCGGAAAAATCTTGGAAGTGACCGATTTCAAATGTCATTTTTTGGTGTGACATGATCTTTTATTGGTATTGGATATCCATAATGAAGTTCTACATTATTAATTTTAGATGTTAAAAAAATATGAAGCCGTATTATCAAATAACTGGATTTTTCTCGGTAATTTTTCGTAAATTAGTATGAGTTGGTATGTTTATAAACTTAATTTCGTTAAACTTTGAAAGGGAAATCTAAACTTTTAACTAATATTTATTTTATAGGAAGGGTACTAAAAAAACCTTTGAGAGGTTACCTCAAAATATTCGTGTAAAAACTGGACTTGGAACTGGTAAGTGTGATCAGTTTTTTTTAATTTTATATTCATTAATAAATTTAATGAAATCCTCTACGTAAATACGTAAATTTGTTTTTTTATTTAATAAAAATTATTATATAATTTAGCTACTCGTGATATTCAATTTGATGATGTTTTAAATCGATTCAATGAATTACATACTGGAACAGAAAAATTATATAAAGATGCTATTAAATTTAGGGATGGTATTTCTCGTAAGTTTTTAATATTTTTTTAAAGAAAAAAAAAAATTATTAATTTTATCTTTTTTTTGATCACTAATATTTTTTTTTTTTTTCCGTTTAGATATGTTGAATCATCAATGTAATACTTCTGATATTCTTGTAGAATTATATAATCCAATTGTAGGTAAAAAAGAAACTGAATCAACTGTTCGTCGAACTACAACTCCTGTTCAATCAATGAAAGCTGTTGAAGAATTTAAAGACACGATGTCTGATTTGAGAGATATTCTCTTGCCTGAATTGGTGGGTGATTAATAATAATGCTAGTATAATAATTATAGTAAATAATAATAGTTTTATTTTATAGGATCGTGTAGATAAAATGGTAGTATTGCCTTCAAAGGATTTTATAGATGTTGTTAAATTAATAAAGAAAACTATTGCAAAACGAGATCATAAAAAAGTGGATTTCGATCGATATACAAATAATGTAAAAAAACTTCAAGATAAAAAAGATAAATCTGCAAATGATGAAAAATCATTAATCAAGGTAAATTTTTATATTATTAAACAATGTGTAGTAATATTTCATCATTAACTGTTGTTATATTTTTACAGGCGGAAGAGCATCTTACCAAAGCAACTGAAGAATATGAACATTATAATGAATTAGTTAAAAAAGAGTTACCCATTTTTTTTGAATACAGAGCTCATTTCATTGAACCTGTTGTCTCTAATTTTTATCATTTGCAAGTAAAAATCTATAGAATTTTGTATGAAAAAATGGAACGTTTAATTTCTGATACCGGTTATTTCGATGTTCAATCTGATATTGTAGAACATTATAAAGAAAGAAAAGAAGAAGTAAATCAACAAATAGAAACCCACTTAACTTTATTTAAAAACAAGAAAAAATCTAAAAAAGAAAGTAAGAAATCTTTAATCCGTTCTATATTTATTATTGTTATTATATTGTGTGTTCACCTTTTTTTCTTAATATATATAATTTTAGGTCATCATGATAACGATAGTGATGAATTAACTGATTCAAAGCATTCTGATACAAATAATCATGGTAGTGAGGAAGATGCACCACCACCTTATTCATCCACAACTGGTCGAAGTTCTGCATCTATATCCTCATCAAATCCAAAACTTTATCCTGTTCAAAAAAAGGCTCCCCCACCACTTCCGCCCCATAATTCAAAACCGAAATCCGTCCAATATGTTAGAGCTTTATATGATTATGAAGCACAAGCAGAAGGTGATTTATCATTTAAAAAAGGTGATAAGATTGAAGTTATTACCCGGAAAGATGATGTAAATGAGTGGTGGAAGGGAAAGCTGAATGGTAAAATCGGTGATTTTCCAGGTAATATATTAATCTAATAAGTTTTATTATTTTGACTAATATAAAAAAAAAAAATTTTTATTTATGTAAAAAAAATTATTTTTACAGGAAATTATGTTGAAGATTGGTGATCATTATATGCTTACTTATTTTTTGGGGGTTATTTGTTATTATAAATGAGTTATTGTTATTTTAAACGAGTTATTATAAATTATAAAAAGGACATTGTACTTAAATTAAAATGTATTATAAATTAAAGTTTGAAATTAATTAAGCGTATTGATGTTTATACTCTTTTGAAACAAAACATATTTGGTAACATATTGCCAAATGAATACGAACTGTCGGAATTAATCCGTTTTCTGTCAAATGGTCCTGTAGATAATAATAAGTGTAACAACTCTCTATGTTTCATTTTTAAACAATAAATCGGTTTAAAGTCTAGATTATTATTAACAATCAAGTATCTTTGAACCCTAACCAAAATTGTTAACTAAGCCCTATAGCAGTTTAGCTAACTATTGTATAATCTATCGTCAAGACAGAATATCTAAGTTCTGATCTCTTAGATAAAGGACAAATTTCATTGGATTAAAATTACGTAATCTAAATAAATCTACATGAATGAAACTCTTGAAGTCATTCTCAACTTCAAATGATTATACGATTTATCGAAATGAAATTGAAAAAATTCTTTTTGTTTTCAAAACAGCATTGATCGCTTGGCCTTTTACGACACTGTACCCGTATCTCTCTCGGGGGGGGGGGGGTTGAACCACGGTCATCGCAGATCGAGAATTTATCTCTATACCTCAGTCAACTTCATTCCTTGTTTATCAGCAGGTTTATGAAACGCACATGCTTTTCACTCTTTAGTTTCAAACATAATTTTTTGATTACGTACTTTTTCATGAAATCATATTTACCTTAAACTGCTTTAATGGTATCCGAGTTTCCAATCGCAAGATTTGTGATAGTCTTATTAGCAAGATTATCTAATTATATCATTGCACTTAACCATTTTTATCAAAATGTTAAAAAAAAAAAAAATTATTTTTTTTGTTGAGTGACCATCATGGCTGATGATATCATGGCTGATGATATCATGGTAAACTCGGGATTTGACGCCAATGACATATGACATATTAGATTGTCAAATTATTGGCCAATTTCAACTTCAAACTGGTTTGAATTTCTGATAGTCCTACGAAATTTTAGCCCAATTTTTTTCAGATAAAATTTTGATGATCTTTGATTACATATTATTTCTAGCAAGAGAAAGCTTTCTATGATAATCTTCTAGAATATCTTAAATAGCCATGTTTAAACGGAAGAATATTAAAAAATTTTAAGTCTAAATTATTTTGGATCTTTCCATTATACTCTAAACTAATGTATTTAATTACATGTTATTGTTTTGCTTTTTTTAATAATCATATTGGTAGTTAATATGAAGGTTTATTATAGAATTTATTCTCAGCAACAAATTCTCACAATAAAATTTAGAATTTTATTATTAAACCATTTTGGTAATATGGTAATAAAAACTCATTTTGTATGTAAAATGTATATAAAATTAAATGAATTAAATCATATTATATATTATATTACATATTATGATTTATAATTCTAATTATTTTTAAAAAACTTAACTTAATTTGGTAATATATTTATGATTAATTGTATTTAAATTGAAAAAAAAAACTGGTATTAAACAAATTATATTAATTTTAGTAATAAGATAAATTAATAAATAGATTCATGAAAAATGTATTGATTTAATTAAAAAGAAAGAATTTTAATGTTAATGTTTTATATAAGCCTTTTTGATTTGTTGAATGGGAATATGAGAATCATCTTTTTGTATTTTTTGTATGTAAATTACGTAAATAAGCATTTTGGTTGATCTGAAACATTGTGGCGTTTGACAATTTTTTTGTCTTTTTACTTTGTCTTGTTTTGTATAATAGCCGGTTACTATACTTAAAAAAGGTTAGGTTTATACTAAAACATATACATTATAAAGACAATCAAAGGCATAACTAAACTCAAATAAGATTAGATTAACTGCGGAACAAATCATTTAATTGGTTCATGAAAAAGTCTGCATAGTCAGTATGACATTGACCATGTATGAAATATAAATACTCTAAAAATTTTCTTTATAAAATTTTATTTATTCTTTGTTATTTTTTTAAGTAAATCGGCTTTGGGTATCGAGAAGTTTCAATCCATTTCTACTAGACGTAATTTATAAACTTTTTCGATATTTTAATGAGCGCGATACAAAACCCAACCAACGCTAACGTTAACACAAAACCTGCTTTACATGGTGTTAAGATCAAAACGAGAAAGGTTTGTCATCAAAATTTAATTCTATTTTAAAATGATTATTCAAATATTAATTTTTTTTGGTTTTTCTTTTTTTTATAATATAGAGCCAGCAAAAAGCTCAGGCTAAATACGAGCCTATTGGTAAACTTACTTTTCTTTTTGATGAACATTTTTTTTTTTTTTTATTCTATTCAACTAATATATTATATATTGACAGTTTTTAGAGATAGTATTTTAAAAATTCTTTCGGGAGCTCAACCTGATAACTTTGAAGAAATCTCTCAAACCCTAGACGCAGCCGGCAATACAGTTGACTTTAGAAAATACGGTGAAACTTTATTTGAAATCCTTCTCACCGGCGGTGTATTAGGTATATAAATGATTTCATTAAATTCTTCATTTAATTTCCTATAACTGATCTATTAACCTACTTTTTTATTTGTTACATTAAAAGCCCCCGGAGGCACAATTATTGACGATGGCGCACAACGTAGTCCATTTTCAATTTTCTCCGCACAAGATAATATCGAAAGTATTAAAAAACATGTTGAAGTTTTCGATAAGCTAATTCGTCAACGTTATAAATATTTGCAGCGTAGTTTTGAAGACACTATAAAAAATTTACTTCAATATATCAACAAATGGAGATCCGAGGAAAATTATAAACTTGCCACTGCGATTGGCTTGTTTGCTTCTGGTCAGATGACCAACCTTAACTTTTTGACTGTTCTTTTTAAAGAACATCTTGTTAAAGAAGGCCTCTCCCTCCAATTTGTTACTGCCGTATTCAAAGCTTATCTTGGTGAACAAAGTATTGAACACCTAGGCGGTTCTCTTAAAAAAGCTGGAATAGACAACAAGCTTTTGGAATTTTTCCCTCCAAATAAACGAGATGAGGAATACTTTGCCCGTTATTTTGGAGCTGAGGACATGAAACAGCTAGTTGAATATCATAGTCAAAAACAAAGAAATTCGTTAAAAGAACAAACTATTGATCACGTTAAGGAAATGTTGAGGAATGAAGGCACTTCTCAAGAGGTATTTAGGATGTTATGCTATATATATATATATATTAAAAATATTTTATTTATTTGAGTACTAATCATTATTTCGTAAAATTTATAAATTTAGATTGTTGTTTACCTTAAACAACGTATCAAGGAAGGTAATTGGCCGGAAAACGATTTTGTTCAAATAGTCTGGGATGCATTGATGCAAGCCGTTGATTGGAGCACTCGCCCAGAAATGATTGAAAATCAAGCTTCACGTCAAATCAAAGTAAGTTTATATACTTAATAAATTTTATAATTTTTAATTTTATATAATATTAACATATTTCATTAATAATTTTTACTAGAAAAATGCTGAAATTCTCGCTGCATTTGCTTCTAATCCTAAGTCGGAAGTTGCACTTTTGCAAAAAATTCAAATTTATTGCCACGAAGATACAAGATTGATGAAACATTTTCGTTTAATTGTAAAGATTTTGTATGAAAAAGATGTTGTGTCTGAGAACGCTATCTTTTATTGGTATGAGAAAGGTGCCAAACCTTATGGTAAAGGGTTGTTTTTAAAACAAATGGAATCATTTGTTAATTGGCTTAGGACTGTTGAAACTGATAGTGAAGAAGAAGACGACGAAGACGAAGAATAGAGGCGAAACAAGGATCGGTTTGCTTTACCATAATTATTATTTATAAAAAAAATCATCATTTTTTTTTCCTTGAAAAAGAACTGTTTTATAAGTTTTAATTAAACCTTTTATAATAGAACATTGATCACAATTTGTAAATTGACATCCAACAATAATAAAAAAATTTTTTTAATTACAATTTAATAACAATAATTAATGTAAATAATACTTTTAATTAAGTAGATGCTGGTTTCCAAAATTTTACAGTTCCATCTACACTAGTAGATATCATATAATTGTGTCTAGGATGAACTGAAACACATGTTACGACATTGGAATGCGCTTGGAGTGAAGTCAATAAATTACCCTAAAAAAAAAAAAGAAAATGATAATTAATAAATAAATTAATTTAAAAGAAATTTTTTTTTTTATATTTACCTCTAATAAATCCCAAATATATATTTTTCCATCTTCTGAGCCACTTATTACATAAGCATCATTATTTGATAAACGGGAATGAATTTTGTATGAAACATTTTCATGACCTTTGAAACTATTACAAATGATAAAACTTAATAAACTATGTAAAGTGAATTCGTATAAAATTTAACCGTTTACCTACTCATTTAAAAGACCTCCATTTTCTCTATCCATTAATCGAATTGTGCTATCAAGGGAACTAGCAAGGATACAATTATTATCTCCCGAAATACAAACTGACGTTACAGGATCTTAAAACATAATATATATAAATAAAATAATATCTTTAAAAATGATAAAAATTATATATGGCTTATATATATATAACTTACGAGAAATTAGATCGGCTATAAGAACACCCATTCTAATATCATGAGTACGTATATAACCATCAGCACTTCCAGAGACAATTTCATATTGAGTCATATGTAATGAAGTTACACTATCCTTTGGTTCTTCAAGAATTTGAATCGGAGCACGAGAATTTGATCTATACATTATAATGTTAAGTGTGATTAGCGAGAGTCTGTAATAATTTCACAAATAACTTTTAAGCCTACCTGCAATCCCATAATCGTATTGTTGTATCATATGAGCCTTTTGGAAAAAAAAAAATTTTAACATAATAATTGTTAACGAGAGATAAGTTTTGAATTTAAAGAGCTTACCGCTTGCCAAAACAGTTCCCTCCCAATTAAAACCAACAGCATTTATACGCTATAATTTAAATCTTATTAATTTTCGTACAACAATTATAAAATAAAATAAATGCGTTACCTGGTTGTGACCTTCGAAACGACGAATAGTACTTCCAGTTGAAACGTCCCAATAATAAACTTGTCTATCACCACCACAGGACGCGAACCGAGAATGATCTTGAGTTCTAAAAAAAAGGTAAACTTCAAGTTAAAAAGAAGTAATTCTGTGAAATCACTTCAATATACTTACTTACACAGATAAGTCTAAAACTTCTTTACCATGTCCAGTATAAGTTTTAATGTTTAAACCAGTTTCGGGATTCCATAAACGTATAGTTCTATCTTGACCACCACTTAGAACATAATCCCCACTTGTATTATATCTTGCAATATGTACGGGGCCTTGATGTGAATTAAAAGTTCTTTTACATTCTATTGGCAAATTTTCGACTGATGATGCCATTATCTAAAAAAAAAAGGATTTGATTGTTTTTAGGTAATAATAAAAATTTGAAACCTTTTTTTGGTAATTAGTGTAATTAAGTACGACAAAATATTAATTAAGTTTTATAAAATAAGGTTGATCTTATCGTACTTAAAAGTTTATTCCCGTTTGACAATCGTACAATCATCCGAAACAATTTAATTTATTGTCTTTATCTGTTATAATTCAAAAAAAAAAAAAAAAAATTGAGATTTTATTTAATTATCCCATTTTCCAGTTATTCTTCTTCCCAAAACAAAATAGTCTGGAACTATTTTTTCACATTCTTTCAGAATTTAACGAGCATTTCAAACATTTCGGGAATTTCAAACATTTCAAAACAATTTTCGCATTTCAAACATTTCGGGAATTTCAAACATTTCAAAACAATTTCAAGCATTTCAAAGCATTTTTCAATCATTTCAAAGCATTTTCATATCTAAAACATAATTTACCTACTTTTATTTGTAATATACCTTTTTTTAAAAAAAAAAAAAAACGAAAAAAAAACCAAAAAGACAAAAAAAAATGGTGGAAATTATAGACTATAGAATTTCTCGTATTGTAGTGTTATGTAAAGATTGTGGTCAAGATGTAGGTTTATACCCTGCAAGACATAAATGTGGTATACCAACTTCAGAAGGATTACCTGCAATATCAAAAGATTCTTCGTCTAAGAATTCAAAATCGAATCTTTATAATAATCCAATGGAAGGTTATAATTTATGGAATAAATTTGTGAATAGCGCCACTGCCATATATAATGCTGATGATGATTCTGACAATGGTAAGTAACAATTTATAAGAATTTTTTTTTTTAAAAAAAAATAATTTTTGAAAAAAAAAGTGGTTTAAAAATCTATTCTTATTTTATATAGAGTCTGAAAAAGGTGATTGGGATGGAGAAACTCATATATCTCGTATTCTAAGAGAATATTATGAAAGCAAAGGCGCTGACCTACCAGATTGGTTATACGATTCAGATTCAAAATATAATTCGGATTCCACCAAAAATTCATATGTATCTCAAATAGAACGTACTTCAACTAAACCAAACAGAAATGGAAATAAAGATTTTAGTCCACTTCTTAATGTAAATAATAATAGAGGTCGTCAAAATGGAAGTCGACGAGACATATCACTCATATCACCAGCTCAAAATCATACTCCAGCAAAAATGAATAGAGGTAGAGATAAAAGTGCTCCACCTCCAAGTTCGTTTGATCGCAATAATATACAAAACAATAAATATCACGAAAATATTTATCCTCCTTTACCAAAAAATATTGATTCAAGAAGAATTACTGATGATCAAATTAACCATAAAAGCTCTAATCATAATTCTTTAAGACGTCAACCACCGCCATTTCCTGTAATTCCAGATGATTACAATACAGCAAAAAGATTAATTCCTTCAAAGAAATCTTATAATCAATTAAATTTAAATTATAATAATACACTCAATAAAGTTAGTCCAAATCGTGATATTAGGGTGGGAAGTGGATATAATAATAATAATAATGTACAAAAAGGGATTGGTAGACAAGGTATTCAAAGCACACCACTCTCAGGTTCACATGTTCTAAATAGAAATCGTGTACAAGGCAATTATTTTTAAGAAAGAAAATATGTTTATTACCCTGGTGATATCATGTTTATCACGCTCCTCTACTTCTCATTTTACTATAAAAATCCTATTTGTCACCGTTAAATGGCACACGCCACACGGTACTTAAATGGGCTTTGATTATTTATTATATATAAATAAAAGTTTATATTTATTAGAACAAAATATAATTTTTTTTTTATTAATGATACTAATGATGATACTAATGATACTAATGATACTAATGATAATTCTACTTTTTTTACCTAATAACGGGAATAATTTTATATATATATATATATAATATATATACATTACTATCTAAAAATCTTATAAAAAACTAATTCTTATGATTTATTTTGTCAAATCAGGATGTACAATGAATTCATCTAAAGCCTTACCGGCTGGTACCATAGGATAAACGTGCTCGTGTTTTTCTATAATTACATCGCATACAATTGGTCCATCATTATATTCTAAAAATTCTTTCATCTTACTTGGTAATTCTTCTTCTGTACGAATTCTCAATGCTTTAACTCCCATCGATTCTGATAATTTTACAAAATCAGGATTCACCATTCTCGTTTGACTATATCTTTCTTCATAAAAGAGATCTTGCCACTGTTTTACCATTCCTTGAAAATCATTATTTAAAATTAGAACTTTTACTCCAATATTATATTGTGATGCCGTAGCTAATTCCATTCCTGTCATACAAAAACTTGCATCCCCATCAATATCAATAACAATTTTATCAGGACTTGCAACTTTTGCTCCAATCGCTGATGGTAATCCATATCCCATTGTACCTAATCCACCTGATGTAATCATTGTTCTTGGATGTCTCCATCTAAAAAATTGTGCTGCCCACATTTGATGCTGTCCCACTCCTGTTGTTATAAGTACTTTTTCTTTATAATCTGTTGTCTGCTTGTCCAATTCTTCTATGACCTGTTGCGGTTTTAATACTTGATCCGGTGATGACGGTTTGGTATATTTCCATGGGTACCTTCTTTTCCATTCATCAATCTCTGAAAACCATTCCTTTCTTTCTGATGATTCAATAAGTGGTAAAAGCCTATTAAGATTATCTGAAACATCTCCTTCAACGGCTGTTGTAGCTTGTATAACCTTATTAATATTCTTGGGACTTATTTCAAAGTGAATTATACCCCCTCTATTTTCTGCTGCTGCCTGTTTGGCTTTTGGTGCAAAATCTATAAAACAGGAAAAATAATAATTTTAATATTTAAATTATTTTTTCAAAAATTTAAAAATTTGATGCTTACGAGACAGACGACCAGTAACACGATCATCAAATCTTGCTCCTAAGGCAATAATGGTGTCAGCATTTTGCATGGCCAAATTTGCGTAGGCTGACCCATGCATACCTAACATATGTAGACTACGAGAGTCCAATTCATCAAAAGCACCAAGCCCTTGTAAAGTTGTTGTCACTGGAATATTACCAAGTGACGCTAGTTCTCTTAAACGCGTTGGTCCTTCCGAAGTTGATAGAACTCCTTGACCTGCATAAATGATGGGTCGCTTGGCTTTATTGATCATTTCAGCTGCACGTCTAATATTAGGTGTATTTGTTAAAGAAGATGCTAATGCAGGTGATTCGTTAAACGCTCGAAAAGGAATTGTGTATTGTGTAGGTATAGGTTTTGTAAGCACGCTAGCAGTAACATCCTTCGGAAGATCAACAAGTACAGGTCCAGGACGACCAGTGGTAGCTATTTCAAATGCTTCAGTAATACGACGTGGCAATTCTGCAATATCTTTTACCATTACATTCCACTATAATTGAATATTAAATTAATTAAATAAAAATTTCTCTTTTTTTATTGCATAGTCAAGAAAATTATTAATAAATACCTTTGTGCAGGCACGACTTATACCAACAACGTCAGCTTCTTGGAAAGCATCAGTTCCAATAGCTGATACAGGAACTTGTCCGCAAAATACAATCAAGGGAGTACCATCCAAAAGAGCGTCTTGCATAGGGGTAACAACATTTGTTGCTCCAGGACCGGAAGTAACCAATATGACACCTGGTTTACCACTTGCTCTTGCATAACCCTCCGCCATATGACCGGCTCCTTGTTCATGTCTTGGAAGGATAAAATCGAAATGAGTCGAATTGTATATAGCATCAAATACAGGGAGAATCGCTCCTCCTGGATATCCAAATACATGTTTTACGCCATGACGCAACATCAATTCATGAAATATTTGACCACCCGTTAAGCCCACAAAGGAATCATCATATGTGGCTGCCTGAACATTTTTTGAGATTGATGGTGTCGATGGAGAAGGAATATTTTGATTTGGTATTGATGGGGGAGGGATCTTTTGTTTTCGTGTTGGTGGTGGAGAATAATAAGGTACAGGTTGTGGATGAGGACTAGAATAACAATTCAAAAAATTTAATACTATTATTACAAAATAACATGATTTTTTAGAATGCAAAATTTTATAAATATGTATTTACCTGACAGCACTAGCCTTCCATCGTCGTTGGTTGTTAGTAAGATAAGTAAATGCTGGCAAAGTATATTTTATTCTTTTGTTAACTCTGGAAGATATGAGGGCAGAATAACCCGACGTAGCACGTTGCAGAGACGTTGAAAATGTATGAGTTGAACTCATTATTATTTTTTTTTAACGTGGCAAAGAAATTTTTTTTAAAAGGCAGGGAAAAAACTCGTAAAATCAACCTTTTAAATATAAAAGAGTGGCTAAAGTTTCCTTTGGCTTGAATTCATATTATCAAAAAAATTTTTTTTTTTTGTGTTACTGATGCTTGTACTATTTTAACGTGTATGCTAAGATCAAAAAACAACTTGTATAGCAGATCTTGACAATATTAACAATATTATCTAATCTCTTATCAGTTACCTAATATTACTCATAAATAATCATAATACTGTATTAAAAATAAATAAAAGTCCCTTTTCTATTATATGATCGTTACGATAGGAACTTCCAATGCATGAATGCGCAAGCATACATAATTCGAATTATTGTCTCGATTAATGTTTGTTTAATTAATTAAGATCTACAAATCGACACTTTTTATAAATTTTATCTTGCAAAACGAAGAAACGGTCAGCATTTTTTGTGTAATTACACTATCTAAAATTGAAATCAAACTTTTTTTGCACCTCACTACACCATGCTACACTAACTAATTTAAGGAAACAATAATTAATTAAATGAGTCCCAAAAAAGATTCTTTCAAAAAAATTTAATCAACAAATCACTTATGTTATATCGTTTCTTAATTATTTTATGCTTGAGTGAGCTGAATTTTTTTTCTTTCGAATGAAAGAAATTATATTTTAATAATAAATATGAAGAAATATAAAATGCATGAGAATACTCAATTTTGCCAGTATATACATAAGCTAAAAGTCTAAAGCCGATTTAATAATTCCTGTCGTCTATACTTTCAGTATTCTAGCATATCAGGATTTCAGGTAATATAATCCTTATGAAAAGTTTTTATACTTAAAACATACTTAAAATTTTATTAAAATATACGTATCAATTTTAATTCGCGATATACTTATAATATACCCTAAAATACTCTTAAAATATACCCTTAATTTACTTGTTTTTTGCACAAGTACTTAAATTATACTTAAAGTATACTTAAACTAGAATTTAAGTACAATATAAGTGTATTTTTTTTACATATTTAATTGCCGATTCGTCTAAGAACGGCACTGCGTTACTAATAAAATTCGCAATCTTCAGAAAGGGATATTTTCATAGACGACATATTAACTATAAATAAAAGCCATATGATATACTGAAAAAATACTTAAAAAAAAAGAATTTGCAAAAAAAAATTATACGTTCATATGCAAAATAATGAGTTTACTATGTACGCGCGTCAGATTTACACCTTAAAATGTAAGAAATTTAAATATTTTATTTAACTATATAATGTTATTTACATTACAAACATATATTTTTTGGCTTTCTAAGCTTTTTTTAAAGACTTTTTTTTAAATATTTTTCTTTATAGAACTAGTAAAAAATTGAAGGGTTTGTGAAATGGGTGAAATGGGTGAAAGTTTATCCCGCGCGTGAGATGTAAAAATGGGTTTTTTTATTATCGCCGAATTTTATTAGTAACGCAGTGCCGATTTTAGACGGATTGGCAATTAAGTTATTCTTAAAATATATAAATGTATTTTTTACATGTTTAAAATATTCTTAAAATATACTTAAATTGAATTTTAAGAATATTTTAAACATGTAAAAAATACACTTATATTGTACTTAAATTCTAGTTTAAGTACTTGGGCAAAACAAGTACATTAAAGTATATTTTAGGAGTATTTTAGGCATATTTTAGGTATATTATAGGTATATCGCGAATTAAAATTGATACTTATTTTAAGTATATTTTAATAAAATTTTATGTTTTAAGTATAAAAACTTTTCATAGGGAATGGTAAACATAAATATGAAGAATGATTTGATTTTTGATTATGTTATTTATAAATTGCAGGGAAGCTGTTAAAAATCGGATTATGTTACTCACTGCAACATATACACGATCGGAAGTAGATGACATTTGTACAAACTTGGATAATAGTTTTGCATTAATCCTCGCCTCATTCATCATCCGATCTGATCTATTCTATATAACTGATTTGTTTGGATGAAGCAAAATGTTGGATGAATCTCTTAGATTCAACTAACTCAATCAGAAACTCAAAATGTACCCACACCACTATTTTCTTTTCTTTTTTATTTTTTATTTTCTATAATTCCAACAAGTCATCGATTGTAAATAATTTTACAATATGCAAAAAAGAATCTGCATTAAATTATAATGCCAATTTACTTCCAATTTACTTGGATGCATGATTGTATATCATGCAACTCTTTCGAGCTCCGGATATTTGTATAAGAAAACTTGAATAGTATATCATTGTTTCTATGGTAGTTTATGTAATAACTAAAGAGAAAAAGCAATGAATAATTATAATACTAATTATATGTTAGCAACATTTGGAATAATCCTATTTGTCACGCATTTGGCTAGGGTTTAATAGGGTTAGCATATTATTTATTTGGCATATCATTAAGTATTAGAATTAATCAATCTTTAATATATCAAATGTACAGACAGACTCAGTGTATGAAATTCAAGCCGAGCGCATTTTGCGCGCATATATGCAGCTTTTTTTCAAATATGATTTGCGCAAAATTTTATTAACCCAGAATAAATAATTAACTGTCAAAAAGATAATTATATAACCCAATTCATATCGAAATAAGTATCTAACTTAATACATGGGGTAATTGTGCCCAATGATTGTACGCCACCCCAAAATCAAATGAACACACTAACGGGCCATTAATTAAGATACTTAGATGATAATGAAGTGTTTCCAATTTCATCTTATTTGGTAATTTGTTTTTAATTAAATTTTACATGAAAAGACTCTCTCTAGTGAAACATTAGAAAGTGGAATGATTAAGATATATAAATAATTTAAGTAGTATGAGGATACAAAGAAAAAAAATCTGTTGTTGAAAATAAAATTCTAAATCATTGCTCACCTGATTTAAATTCTCTAAAATTAGTCGTGCAGTTATCCATTTTTTCTTTATTTTTTTTTTATAAATTATTGGTTCATAAACATATTATTATCATGATCAGTCTTTAGGTCACAATAAAATTCTCCGATAATTTCAATCTCCATTTTTATTTGATATTTACCTGTCATTACAGATGCTCCATTACTTCCTATATGATATAAGGACTGAAATGATATACAATATTTTAATATCTCTCGTAATTGACATCGCATTTATCATACCAAGGTATCACAAAACTGATTCGTTTCCTACCATATACTAACTCAATATTGCCAGATGCTTATCAATAGTGATTGTGGTACTTTCATCCAAAAGAATGCTCCATCCGCTACTTTTATTGATTTCTGCTATATCTTGATGTTCAATTACATATGAAATAGCAAGATTATTAGATCGGGATATACTAAGTGCTAAATTTTGTTTAGAACAAAAATACGCATTTCTCATTAATGATTATGCTATAAAGCTAGTGATTTTATTTGGATTATTTGTACCGCCTCCTCTTAATTTTGAAATTGAAATATGCGTTTCAGTTTTTATTATGATTATCAAGATAATCTTTTTGAATTTATTACAACCTTTCATAAAAATTTTCCTCTTCTCTTTACACCAAATACAATACATAAAAAAAAATTCCCCATCCTTTCTTCTCACTAACCATGGATACGCTTGTAGCACTCTTGTAGTCATCTTTGTCCCAATCATTTCGTTCCTTTTTATATTTTTTATTTGGAATTTTTTATTTAGAAGTGCCAGCAGAACATTCAATATTGTCGCTTCTTTACGCTTTCCTTTGAGTTACTAGCACTTTGGAATACTTTTCAAAAAAATGGGTAAGAAAGTTGATTGTCTTTCTTTATGATCCAATTTTTATATGAACTCGTAGTTATGGATACTCAATGGCCTTATTAGTTAAGTGATAGAAAAAACCTTATTTGCGCGCAAGAAAATTTGCGAATTTTTAACGCGTGCAATTTTGCATTCCGCAAATTCCATGTCGAAATATTACGGCTCATTTACACCAATCCGGCGTTACACCAGTGTAATACTATTTTCATATGAATCTTCGAAAATCTTCGAACAAAAATTTGGCGAATAACTTCAAAAAAACCTGGTTTAACTTTCTTTTGCTACCTTACAAACTGCAATTTACGCGTCTAAGTAAAGTTTCAAGTGTTTGCGATGTATTGCGATGTAATAACATAGTACGCTAAAGAAAGTTGAAAAGAATAACCGCGTAAAATTTGAACAGGGGTTATCAGACACGGAGCTTTTATCATGGACAAAGTTACTAATCGGCATATGAAATTTCTATATGAAATTTTGTGTAACCTGCCGATAATTAGGACTTTTATCTATGCTGTGAAAAGTTGGCTCTTAAACCTCTAGCAAAATGCCACCAATCCCTAGTAAACACCGCTGTCCAATATGCAAGAGAGCATGTCTAAAGCGGGCCATTGTAAAAAACACCAATGGGTCTGTAATTCAAATTCACATAATGGGTAAGTTTAGAGCTTTTGAGCTTTTGCATAATTTTTGGTGTATAGTCTTAATGAATATTGATATTATGCAACGCAAAGGAGAGCGTGGGTTATGTTGTGGGGAGAAGAATGTGAAGTATGTAAAGAAACGGGCGACTGTAGCGTTAGCAAAACCAACGAACACCCCTGAATTTGCTGAATTATGAGTAGAAAAGAAGGAGCCCTTTCAACAGGTTATTATTAAATTACAATTTATTTTGTTGCATTCATTTACTAATTCTAGCGAAAAAAATAATTCTTTTTTTTTAAACTCTTTTATCTCATACATAATATTCATAATAATGATACTGTCTCAACTGATGTTATAATTATTTTATATTTTTATCTAATCTAAAATAATTCAACCAGTGACCCAAAGGAGCATCCTTAACTTACGCATCATGTGTACGATATTAACGTACGCACCGGCCGGAGTTAAGTTTAACGCTATCACGTGCAAATGCATAACTCCTAAACTCTGGTAGATGTACGTACGCACGGTGCGTACGTTTAAGGAACTCGACCCAAAGTCCGCCTTCATATTACTAATATACCTAATGAAAACAATAGTTACAGAAGTTATATTTTTCTATAATTGGTACTGTATATCTATCTTATGGATAACCTGCAAAAATTGCGTTGACCAATAAAAACATATATCAAAGACAATTACGAAGAATACAAACCCGTTTCTCTTGCTTTGTAATGATCGTCAAAAAAGCACTTTAACAAGTTCTCTAACATATCGAATCTGTGAACCATGAGCGTAAACATGGCTTCCAAATCTTCAATTCTCCTGTCTCGCTCTCTTTTGTCCAATATTTGCCCGCTTATATCTCCCAATTTTGTCACCATCTCTTGACGGAAGTAATTTCTTAGTTCTTTCTTTTCCCGGTTCTCCTCCATCTCTGCATCACTAAGAGCTCTAAGTTTTTCCACTTCTTGAATCCAAATTGGATACTTGCACATATCCCATAGAGTTCCTGTATGTGAAAACTCCCAATCAATAATGCCTATAATATTGATATCATCATCAACTAGTATATTTTGCGCATCAAAATCACCGTGAATGAGAGCAAATGTTGGTTTATCAATCGAGTCATCAAAAGGGTTGTCTTTTGATAGTTTGGATTGAAGCAAGTCCAATTTTTTTTTTAGCTCATCCACTCGCTTTTTTGCATCTGCCTCATTTAAATTATCTTCCTCAGCAAGTTCTTGTACACCATGAATTGTAAAAAATTGCTTTTCTTTACGAATCAAGGTATAAAACAACTCTCTTGTGCTTCCAAAAGGGCCAGTATAGCTAGGAGCATCAAAAATTTCATTTCTTCCTTCAATGTAGAATTGAGGACTCACGATAGGACCAATTTTAAATGGCTGGATAGTTTTGTAAAACATTAGATTCTTTAAAAACGTCATACAGGACCTTATCGAATTGGATGAATTCCTGTAAATACACCCGATCTTTTTAAATTTGCATTTCCACAACTCAGATAACACATCAACAATTTGACTTAAAATATTCCTTTTCTGTTCAGCGTTCAACTTGTCCCAAATCTTATATAAATGTTTTCCAGGTAGGCGTTCCATCAGGATATACGGAATTTTTATGTCATTCTGCGCCTTACTGTCCCAAGCATACACTTCTGGAACTCTGATTCTGGTGTTTTGAGCGACATATTTCATAGTTGCAACTTCGCTGGCTATTTTTTCTGCAGGGTGATTTGGATCGCGTGCGAGCCGAGCAATGCAATCTGGCCCATTATCAAACTGTAAAAGATGTATTTCGTTATATAATCCTCTTGTTAACTTACAAGAGTTAACACAACGTCTTTTTAAACGGCTGGAAACCATATGCTTTAACATATCAACATCCAAGTCCAGTGCAGATTCAACAGAATCTTCGTCCGTATTGTCTTCGTCCATGTTAGAACCAGTATTCGCTTCCGTTGCTTCAACTGACAGACCTGGTGGATAATTAGAAATTTCCTCTCTCCTGCCTCTCCTGCCTCTCCTGCCTTACGCTAAGCTGTTTTCTATACTACGATAATGTTTAATTTTTTATTCCGGGTAATTCAGCATTTCAGCATTAATCAATATAGATTAATGACACCACATGATTGAAGATCGCACCATTTTAAATTTTTAATCAATCTTGACAGTATAAAAAATTGCTTGATTGCTAAAATGAATGTAATTTTTTTAAATTTCACGTCATTAATTTTTTAGACCAGGTTCTTTTCATGGAAAAAGAACTATAAAAAACCCGAGCAAAATGCTGCTTTCGCTAATTTACAGTCGCCTCAGGTATGTATATTGCGCATATGTACATATATAAAAGGTTTTCTTTTTAATTCCTATTTGTCAGAAATAATATTTTTTTATTTATTAAACTATATCTACTAGTTAAAAGAAAATGTGTAAGCCGTGTTCTGATGTATGCATAAATGATCCTACAAAACTCTGGGAGGAAGGGATCGTGCCATATAAGTTCGACAATAATGGTGTCTTCTGAACTTATTCACTTTGTAAATAAAGCAATGGAAGATCACCATGTTTAGTCCAATAAAATTCGTCGAAAGAACGAATCAAATTGATTACGTTAAAATCGTTAATAAGGGTGGCTACTGGTCTTATGTTGGCAAGCAAGGAGGAGAACAGGTAATTACTATATTCGCTTATAATATAAATTAACTATCACTTATTTTTATCTTGTATTCATAAGTTACCAAGGGTTGGCCCATCCAATCGGTAGTGCTATGCACGAATTATTACACGCGTGTGGTATGTACCATGAGCACTCTCATCCTGACCGAGACAAATATTTGTTCGTTCAAAACAACAGTTACGATTACAGAAGATATGAGCCAAATGACGTCAGGTGTTTCGGTAATTATGACTTTAAGTCAATTATGCATTATCCTTTAGGTTCATGCATGAAATTGAAGTCGGAAGTAAAAAGAGATTTTGAAATCGGTTTGTAAATGAGCTTCCTTTCATATAACTGATTTCACCTAATAACAAATATCTTTACACTCACAGGACAACGCGAAATGTTAAGTGAAGGTGATATAAAGGCTATCAATATGTTATACCTCGACTCGACACCTGATATCCAAAGAGTGAAGATAACCGCTTCAAATGAGGAAATGAAATTGCAGTTTCTATTAAAAATAAAATCGAAGATATTCCGGAGGAAAAGATCCCAGTGATGAGAGGAAGCCAAAATAAACAATTTCGAAAATGGCGGCTGATTTTTTATTATCTGTTTCTGATGACCAGTTTTCGTATATGGATGTTATATTATTATATACATCGTATTTATGTAGATAGGAAAATGTGACCATATATATATATATTATACTAAACAGTTAAAAACACTCCTAAAATAATTTGCTGTCCGTTATTACTTAACTGATGGGTCTTAATAGAATTATAATTAAAAGCAAAAAACCAACGTTGTTGAAATCGGTTTAACTTGTTAAATCACCAAGACCTAAATTTAATTTGATACAAAGAGACTTTCATTTAAAAGTGTTTGTATTTTGTTATTATTCTATAATGAAAACAATTTTGGAATGTATTGTTAAATGTATTGTATTTGTAAGTTAATTTTAAATTTAAACATGTGTTTTAACAAACTACCTTTTAAACTTTATAACAACTATCTAAAACTAAAATCAAAATGTTAATTTTTAACATTTGGTTTCAGTTAAGTCGTCATTATATATGCTGCCCAAATTATTTTGGGATGCCATAATTATAATTGTAATTTACTATGTAAAAGTGCCAATATAATTTGGGATGCTGTAATTAATTACGGTAGCCCAAAATAATTTGGACATGTATGGTCGTCATCACTATCCGTTATAATATTGTATAAATAGAAAATATTTTTTCGATTAAATAATTATGATCAAATTAATTACATAGCACTAGAAAACATGGTGATAACTATTTAAAGAGAGATCTTCTATATTCCGTCTCCATTTCGTTTTATGTGACAAGAACAACACTTAGCCCTATAAAAATTTTTATCCGTTATTTCTGTAAAAACTCCGTAAAAATGAGCCTTTCACGGATCCATTCACGGAAAATGTAAATAATTCGATATATTCCGCGATATAAGTTTATTAATTCCGGAAATATGAGCCTTTTACGGAAAAAATATGGAATATAAAAAACGGATTGACTTTTTTTACAGGGTAGCAGAAATATGTGAATAGCGCTAATCAAATCTTTTATACATACTTATACAGAGATAAGAATACAAAGCTCGTGACTTATCAATAACATTCTCACTGTCCTGAGCAGATATTTAAAAATGATTACGTGATATGCAAATTTAATAATGATCGCCATACAATGTGTGAATTTCGTTAATTGTAAAATGTCCAAACCGGCAGTTTATAAATTGAAATGTGCAGTCCAAAACTATGACTGGGGAAAAATTGGAAGTGAGAGTAAAGTAGCTCAGTTCGCTCAAATTTCAAAAGATTTTGAGATTCAGCTTGATAAACCATATGCTGAGGTGAATAATTAGAGAAAATTTTATTTAATTAATTACCTTTTTTTGATTCAAAAAATCGATCTTTTCACTAATTAAACTTTGTATAAGTTGTGGATGGGAACACATCCAAATGGACCAAGTGTATTGGCTGAACAATCATCAATTTCACTTAAAGAAAAAATAGAATCAAATCCAAGCGAATTACTTACATCAGAAATTTCTAAAATATACAAAAATGATTTACCATTCTTATTTAAAGTATTATCTGTACGCATAGCTCTCTCTATTCAAGCACATCCTGATAAAAAACTTGGAAAAGAATTATTCGAAAAATTTCCAAAGATTTATAAAGGTGAAATTTGTCAATGTTTTTAATTTTTCGTAATTTATTTATTTTTAACAATAAACATTCATTGTTTAAATTTCAGATCCAAATCATAAGCCTGAAATGGCTATAGCAATTACAGAATTTGAAGCTTTATTTGGATTTAGACCTCTAGAAGAAATAAAATCACTTCTTAATGAATATCCAGAATTCACCGAGCTTATTGGAAATGAAATTTCTTCTCATTTTCTTCAAATAGTTAATGGAAGGGAAGTTTCTCAGCTTACAGAAGATATTGAATTAAATAAATCTGCCCTTCGTGAATTATTTACTAAAGTTATGACAACAAATGAATTGTCCGTTTCTCAACAAGTTGATAAGCTAATTAAAAGGTTAAAATCCAATAATCATTCTCCTCTTGTGAAAGGAAGCGTTCCCGAACTTCTAATTAGATTAAATGATCAATTTCCTGGTGATGTGGGGATATTTTGTGTTTTATTGTTAAATTATATAAAATTGGATCCTGGACAAGCTATATTTTTAGGTGCAAATGAGCCTCATGCATATTTATCTGGAGGTAAAGTGTCTTTTTTTTTAACAAATATAATAATGTGAAGCAACCGATTTGTTTATAATCATTTCTTTTCAGATATTGTGGAGTGTATGGCAGCTAGTGATAATGTGATCCGTGCGGGATTAACTCCCAAATTTAAAGATGTTAACGTACTTACAGATATGTTAACTTACCGTTATGGTAGTGCTGAATCTCAACTTCTCGCTCCAATTCCATATAATAACAATAAATTGACCGTTTTATATGATCCGCCAATCGAAGAATTTTCTGTTAGCATGACTCAAATTAATTCTCTGGACAAAAAAGAAGTTTTCGATGGGATTCCAGGTCCTAGCGTTATAATCGTTACTAATGGGAAAGGAACTTTGAAAGTTAATAATTTATTAGAATCATTAGAACCTGGAAGTGTATTTTTTATTGGTGCTAATGTCCCCATAACAATTGAGGCTGAAGTAGATGGTAGTAATAAGTTAGATTTATTTAGAGCATTTTGTACTTTAAAATAATATTTCATATTTGTAATACATTTATTTTCATGTACAAGAAGCTATTTCTTCAAACATTAAGTATATAACTTGAAGTATCACATTGTTAATTATAGCCTACTTTCTTTTTCGTATATACCATTAACTTGTTCACATATATCCCTCATCTCTTTCAATGCATTCACAATATTTTGTCTTAAAGCATTTGAGTCTGTTTCGGTTGAGGAATATTTGGACTCTATACCAAATTTCAATAAATTATCTCCAGTAAGATAGTTGATACCATATCCATTAGGAAAAACGCATCCAAAGCCAGAGCCTAAATATTAAAACGAATTTAGTAAATAAATTGCACGAAATCAAATTCACATTATACAATAAAACTTACCACTTAGTCTATTTCCAGCACCAAGGCCGCTTGTGCTTAAAAGCCACTCTTGACTTTTAGCAAAAATTGGTTCTGTGAAAAATGGATGAGATTCACCTTCTCGAAGTAAAAGCCTTAATCCTAATAAATGACGATCACAACCTTTTCCATCTGAAACGTCACGCGTATAATCGCTATGTGCTTTTGTCGCTGCTTGTAGTAAATTATATTTTTCTTGTGCCTATTGAATTAAAGAACAATACGTCATTATACTACTACTAGTATTTTACTACAAGCAGCCTGTCTGAAGCAGGTTACTGCAAAGAGATCAGAAAACATTATTTACCGTTAATGATTCGCTTTCCATCCCTTCAACAAACGATTTGCTTTCCACGCTAAGTGTCCTGATCGTACCAGTACGTCCGTGTAAAAACTGTCGAGTCGATCCAGTTTCGTAAGTTGGAACAACTTTCTTGTGTGTCTTGAAATATGCCAATTGTATAGCCATTTGCATATATGCATCTGGGGAACACTTTGCTACGGGTAGTGAAAACAATTTAACATAAAATCGTAATTCAATAAATTAATTAGAGGTAGTGCTTCGATCCGTAGCGGTTTTATCCGGATTTTCATCCGGATTGAATTTCATTAAATTTCGCTGGCACTATGAGTTTGGCCAGAATTAGTATAAATTTTTGGGATAATAATACTTTAATGTTGGTTTAAATTATAGTCTGTTTAAATCTGAAATTCATAATCTTTCTCAGCCATAATCGTCACATGAAAATATTCAAGTTTTCATCCGGATCGAAGCACTAATTAGAGGTTCTAAATTCCTACCAATTTTTTTGATAAAATGAGTTCCATATTCTGAAAATTGTAATATAACCGCGTCTGAATCAGCAATTATGGGACCGATCCTTTTTTCCGCTTCAGCAATATCTTTTAATGTCTGTTCATCCGTCACGAATCTAATCCTTCGTGGAGCAGCGGTCAATCGTCCGGAGGTTGGTGCATTTAGCGTAGCTGATTCAGACATAACCCAATCCACGATAATTGAAGGTATAAGAGCATCACAAGGTGAATGCTACCGAAAAAAAATGAAGGATTTGGTAAGAAACTCTTGTTGAAAAGTAAAAAAAAAAAAATTTTTTATTTACCTCCCCATTCAAAGCTCCACGTCCACTACTTTCTACTGAAATAGACAATGCTTTGTCAAACCAACGGTTATGAGCATTCATACCATGAAACATATTTCGAATGAATTTGTCAAGGTCCACTCCCGTGGAATAATCATCTAAACTTATTGCGAATAATGCATTTTCAATAAATGTCAGAGTTTGACGATTTTGTGGTGAAACTTTAAGCAAATTTTCACGCGCCTAATTTAAGATAATTATATAAGTCTGTCTGTACATATAAGAATTATGATATTTAATAGAAGAGAAACTTACCACAGCCCAAAAATCACGATCATCGGCCGTAAGCACTCCAACTGGAGGATCGTGTTTTGCTTTTAAAACATCGTCAACTATTTGGCGAAGTTGTCTGTATCACATAAAATTATAAGCAAATAAACGATATTTATGTACGTGTATTGCTTGAAATATCATAACTTACATTTCAAAATCACCATCGCTATATCTCTGTCCATTTTTGCCATAACCATCCAAGACATAAAATTGATTTTTTGCAATGACGAGTATGTACCTAGCAGGAGCAGGATGTGGTGTATACACCAATTCGTCGGAACCAGGTTTTGGAATACGAGTGACACCATAACAACGTGTATATTGATACATGCACAAAGGATAAGATCGCGTAACATCCGGAGGAAGCGTTTCAGTATCAACTAATTCCTTGAAATCCAACATTCTTCCAATTATGTGCGCAGCTCTTTTGATTTGCCATTCAGAAAATTGTCCTTTTGGATGAACTCCATTATTATGTGTTAAATACTCTTTTGGAGTATTTGGATCATCGATGAACGCAATATACCAGTTTGAATTAACGACTAATGGAACCCTCCATTCGTGATAGGCCTTTTTCATCCACCAAGCATCATCCAACCAATTATATGGTGAGATCCGGTCAACATCGATTAGCCGTTGTTGAAGTATTTGCCCAATGCCACCTGGTCTAATGAAATCCTTTACATGTTGTTTAATACGTGCAAGTTCTTCTGAAGAAAGAAGAGGTCGGAGAGAATTTAAATATCTTGTTGTACTCTCTTCTAATGAAGGAATTGGCAGCCTTGGTAACCGGTGCTGGTTGCTGAATGTTTTGAATTCTCTTTTACCTTTTTCTAATTCCACTTTTTTAGACATAATGCGTGCGATATCAGGTTTTACGCTCTTGGAACATATTTATTGGATTAAACACGTGCTTAGTGATGGACTTAAAAAAATTATTTACGTACTTAATATACTCAATAATAATAATTCTATTAACTACACGTACTACATTGGGCTAATTTAAATCAAAGATATATTGAGATTATCATTAATCAAAAATCTAAATGATTTCGAATAATTACATTACTAAATATCATATTCAATATCTCTATTTTTTTTTTGAAATTTTTGAAATACAAGGAAAAAAATTTTTTTTTCTTACCGAGAAGTAAACTTTATCATTGTTAAACCGTGAATGATTTTGGAAAAAAGCGCTCTATCACATGAAGGTCGGGAAAAGGGATGAAAATGAATGATATATCGATTAGTAAAAAACTTATTATATGATACCATACATACAGTAGTGTTACATATGATTAAAAACTAAAACATTGTACCCTATGGATTAATCAGTAAAATCGCGTTCAATTTAGACCATTTTTTTTTTTAAAAAAAACTTATATAAGCTGGCATTAAATTTATGTGTTAAGCTACTTTCGTCATCTTCTATTTATAAAACTTCATTTAATCCTCGTTTTTATTCGTTGCTTTCTAATAAGAAAATGTCTGAATTTACAACTCGCAGGGTTGGTATTCCAAATACTTTGGAATATCGTCTCTATATTGGTAACCGATACAAGTCTCTTTGTTTCATCTATTATTTATTAAGTTGATAAGTGAATTGTTTATTAACTGTTAAAATGTCATACCAGAAAGAAATGGTCAAGTTATTTCTCCTTGGCATGATATTCCCTTGTTTGCAAATGAGAACAAGTCTGTTTTGAATTTTATCGTGGAAATTCCTAGGTGGACAAATGGCAAAATGGAGGTCCGTATCAAAAAATTAGACAATAATGACAAGATTGAGAATGACATCTTTTGATCAATTTCGATTAGATTTCCAGAGAGGAACAGATTAATCCAATAAAACAGGACGTGAAAAAAGGCAAACTTCGTTATGTTCGCAATTGTTTCCCCCACCATGGTTATATCTGGAATTATGGTGCTTTCCCTCAGGTAAATCTGAAAATTTTTTGCGCGTTAGCATCATATTGGCATTAACATATCATTAAATTAGACATGGGAAGATCCTTCACAAACTCATGCTGAAACAAAAGCGAGAGGGGATAATGATCCGCTTGACGTTTGCGAAATCGGGGAGCAGGTTGGTTATACCGGCCAAATCAAGCAAGTTAAAGTTCTTGGAATTATGGCTCTTTTGGATGAGGGTAATCGCCAATATTGTGACATGTTATGCATTTAGTGTTTTAGGCATTTAGTGTTTACCTTAGCATGTGCATTAGTCAGTTATAGTTAACGGAAAGTATTTATTTAGGCGAAACTGATTGGAAAGTTATCGTTATCGATGTCAACGATCCTTTGGCGAACAAATTGAATGGTTATATTATAATTATAACAAATGATTATTTTGAACAAGAGAAATCTTATTAATTATTCTTTATGTTTCGACTTTTTTAGACATTGAAGATGTTGAGAGACATTTGCCTGGTCTCATTCGTGCAACTAATGAGTGGTTTCGAATTTACAAAATCCCAGATGGAAAACCCGAGAATCAATTTGCCTTTAGTGGTGAAGCTAAGAATAAAGTTAGAACTCTTTTTTTTCTTTTTTTTTAAAAAAAGACTCGCATACACATATTCATGTTTGTTTATTTAGAAATATGCTACTGAAATTATTCATGAAACGCATGAAGCCTGGCGTCGTTTACTTTCTGGGCAAATTCCAAACAAGACTGATAAATACGATAATAACATGTATATAGTTAACTTTTTTTTAACTATATATATTATATATATTATAATAATATGATTTTTTGTTTTTTTTTTATTTTCTACATAGCACCAATTTAACAGTTGAAGGAAGTCCGGGTCAAACAACAGTAAATGATCCTTTTTTTAAGACTATCCCTCATGATTCAAGACAACCACCTGCCCCGATCGATCCTTCAAGTAAGATTTTTACCTTTAATCTTCTAGTGGTTTCAATGTAATAAATAATATTTTAATCATGTAATTAAATTTAATTATAGTTGACAAATGGTTCTTTATCTCCGGAACTTCCAATTTATAATACTATATTTCTTTACCTTTAGTTAAAATAATTTATTAGAAATTTTTAATTAATAACCTTTATAATATGTCAATTGGAAAAGTCAATCTTCTTAAAGAAATAATTTCAAATAAGATTTAAAAATTAAAAAACTTATCTTACACTTTCAAATGTTCATTATATGAATGAAATCAGCATATTCCGTAGGATCCAGTTTAAACACTTGACCTTTCTTACTAATTTTGATCACATGACCACTGTTAACCAAAGCATTAAGATATTCACAACATCTGGATCGTGTTAAATTTGTACGTTGAATAACTTCTTCCATATACAATCCTTCAGTTGGTTTTAAACACAAAAGTTTGAGAATAGCTTCAACATTTCCACGATTTGATTGCTAAATAATTAAGTTTGAATTTAATTTTTTTAAAGAATATGAATCTTAAGTAGGTTTTTACCTGTTTCCCCCGATATTTTTGTGGCAAAGATTCAACAATTTTTTTAACCACGCCCTAAATAAAAAAAGAAATTCAATAAAAAATGATTTATACGAATAAAAACTTTTCTAGAGAATACCTTGATTTCTGTTTCTTTATTAATTTTTCTTCTACGCGGTTTTTGAAATTTCGGTGCAGGAGTGGTTTGCAATTTTGGTATAGATATATTTTTAACAGTAGTAGCTTTACTGCGAGGAGTTTTATCGTATGTAGTGATATTAAGTGGGGTTCTGAGAATTGCCATCCACTGTAAATCTTGTTGTCTTTTGATAAAAGATGCAAACGTTTCCTTTGTTGGAGCCTAAAATATTGTTAACTTCCGATATTAAATTAATGTCTTTAGATAATGATGGCAATACCTCAGAAAATTCAACACAATGAGCATTCATTTTAATTCCATATAAGAAACCTGAAAAGGACTTATTAAATTCATCTAAAGATGCTTGGACTTTTTTAATGTTTTTAAAATGTTCTGATAAATTATTAAAAGATTTCTCCAATTCAACTAAAGGTCTTTCAAAACGATCCAGAATAAAATATTCATTTGAACCACTGAGAATGGCCGTTGAATTAATGTTTTTTTTTAAAGTATGACCTCGCGATAAACGTCTATTTTGCTGTTCTGTCCTTACTGATAATGAAAAATTCATTTTTTTTTTTTGATGAAAAAATGTTTTTGATAAGACTAAATATTAATTAAATCGCCAATGACGTAACGTGAGATGAAATATCTTCCCCAGCGTCGCCCCAAGATTTTGATGTCACCCCGTGTCACACCCCACCGTTTTCATTTTTCATAAGTATTCTGGGGACTTCTCAAATTTTTAGTGGTACATAAAAAAAGTTTTTTCACGCCCCTTAAACATCACCGGTCACATGGGGTGGAATTTTACTTAGAAATCTTGGATGAAATCGCTTTATCACGTGATTTAAACCACAGACCTCCGGTTCAGGCAGATTAACATATTGGCCGCCTATTTTTATTAAATACACACAATAATGTAAACCTTCAATAGGAAATCCTCATGGGTGGAAGAGAATTTAATTAGTGGGACCCCCTGTATGTTAAGTTCCAAAAATTTGCGAAAACTGATTTCATTCTCGATTTTTGGCATTTTTAAAGCTCTTTTATAATTTTATTATTGATTTTTTTTATGTAATTGTATATATTCTTGATCTTTAACGTATTGAGTTCTTGATTTTTAATGTATTGTGTTTTGGATATTTTAATCTTAACCTTTAATGTAATCTTTGAAATTTCGAATTTTGTTATTATAAATAAATTTTATTTTATTGAATATTTCGTAACATAATTCTGGCCAGAAATAAATTTTTGTCAAAATTATATAATGCAAATTGGCCAATTAAAATCACGTAATTTTAAATATATTGGCGTTTGTGATGCATTGGCAGTATCGCCTTGACAATACCCTTAATTTTATTGAGCTTTTATATTAATTTTTTAGTTCTTTTATTTTATATATTACAAATTTATTATTAAAATTTCATACTAAAATAATAATGTATTGATTATATAAAAATTGTTTTATTGTAAATATTTAAACTAATTAATAGAATTAGACGATACCATCTAAATTTATGTTCAATTTTTTTAAAAAAAAAGTGATGCCAATCAAATGCATACCAAACAGAAAAAAAAAAATTAAAAAATAAATACATTAATGAAACACAATGATACATAAACTACATTTACCACCTGGGTATGCAGAAAGTATAATTAATGAATAGGCAATGTTTTGCTCTATTGTATAGAAGGATGGTTATACTTAAAGAAAAATAAATTAATGCAAAATTAATGAATTATAAAATTAATTGTATATATATATATAATATAATATTAAAAAAATTTCAATATTTCCTATCTATGGTACTGATCTAATGTACTTTTAAATGGATCACCATTAATACCTGCCCCTCTACTACCCAATACAACTTCACCTTCATCATCCCAATCAGAAGATTTTGATTTTTGATATCTGAATACCGCCATAGAAGCACCACCTAGAACAACAATTCCGCCTACAACGGATGCTGCAATTATAATGGTTTTTGTTGCAGAACCACTATCATTATTCGAATCTTCACTATTCAGTCCACTATTATTTTGTTTTGGTGCAGATTTAATTGGAGGTGTAGTAGGAGTTTGATCGGTAATGAATGAGGTACTTGTTACTGTAATTACGGGGGTTGTTTGAGGCGGTATAACTGGTTGTGCTGGTGGAGGAGGGTTTGGCGGTGGTACTGGATCCTTTGGAGGATCTTTTGGTGGAGTTGGGTCTTTTGGTGGATTTGGGTCTTTTGGTGGATTTGGATCTTTTGGTGGATTGGGATCCTTTGGTGGGTCTTTTGGTGGATTTGGGTCTTTTGGTGGATTTGGATCTTTTGGTGGATTGGGATCCTTTGGTGGGTCTTTTGGTGGATTTGGGTCTTTTGGTGGATTGGGATCCTTTGGAGGGTCTTTTGGTGGATTTGGGTCTTTTGGTGGATTGGGATCTTTGGGAGGGTCCTTAGGTTGTTGAGGCGGGTCATCGGGAAGTACCTTAGGTTGTTCAGGATCCTTAGCAGGCTCCTTTGCAGGTTCCTTAGCTGCAGGTTCCTTAGCTGCAGGTTCCTTTCCAGCTTTCGGTGCCGCCCCTTTAGCCGGATCTTGCGCACTTGAATTCTCATTTAGTATTAAAAGGCATATTAATAAAGTGAGCACGAAAAATTTTATTAAATTTGAGGATCTCATTGCGAATATTAATCATTAATTGTTCATTCGGAAATATTTGTGGTCTGATGGTCAACAAATTGAGCGTGAATAAAAGGAATGAGGATAAAAGAGGGAAAAAGAGGCATGTAAATGTAAAATTATATTCCAATTATAATGCTACGTAGTCCAACAATATAATTGGATATTTCAAATTTTTTTTTTTTCCAATATTTCGAAAGTACGTTCTGTTTCTTTTTTTTTTCAAAAAAAAAAGTTTATATTTATATTAATAAATTTTTGTTTAAATTGATTAAAAATTGATAATGAAATTATTAAATTATTAAATAAAAAAGTGAGTTTTTTAAAAAAAAAAACCTTTTCTAAGAAAAGGACAAAAACAAAGCAAACTAAAGCATTTGTTAAATAATTGTTATGGTTCGACAAAAGGAGATACTTGTTTCAAATAATTAATTTTTACATAATAAATAAAAAAAAACGTACATACCTTTAAAAAAAAAAAATTATTTATATAACCCCTCCTGCAAGATTTTTTATTTATAAATTTTTTTTTTTTTTTTTTAGAGGGAAAAAAAAAATTTGTTTCGTTTTTTTATTGAACAAAAAGATTTTCAGATATTCTTATTTATCGTTTACACAAAAAAAGAATATACCATATATGTATGGGTAATTAAATTTACAATAATGAAACTAGCACTGGATTATTTAAAAGTATGGCCGAATATTCCAAATTTGGAGATGAAACAGTTTAACGATCCAATCTAAAGTATTACTAAACGGGAATTTTACTCTTTATATCTTAATTCAACAAATCACAATTTATTATTTGTGACGTAGAGCAATCGCAGCAAAAAAAAATGCCAAAGTTTCACAAATAAAGAATTTTATGCAATGTTATATTCTGTATCACTATGTGAAATAAAAAGCTTTTTTAAGCGATGGTATACCCCATGATTGCAAACAATTTTACCCTTATTAAAATTCACGAATTATGGAACCTATTACAGCTTCAAAGACGACGACAAGAATAAATACTCAACAAATTTATCCACAACAAAATAGTAATAGGAAGTTACAGGTAGTTGCTGAGTCTTCAAATAACGGTGGTAGTAGAGAAGGAGCTAATGGTGATATTGAAGGACTGGAAGAAAATGAGGCATTCGCTGAATCTGGGGGTACTTCATCGGCAGGAGATCCTTTTCTTCTAGTGTCCCTAAGAGATTCAAAGAATCCACCCCGTAGACCAAAAAATGCTTCATATTTATATATGCTTGCACTATTGGATTTAAGCATTATAACCATTTGTACGATTCTACTGGTGCATAAAGACAATAAAGGTTATTGGCATTGGAGAAAAGCAGCCTGGGATTGGGTTGCACTTGGACTTATAAGATTTATAATAGTTGTAGGAGTAGCATCTTCTAAATGGATTAGGGACTTACATTTAATTTTAGGAAGTGTTGTTTGTGTAAGTATTAAGTCGCATTCATTCTTTTTTACGCAATAAATATTAATATTAATTCCTATAAACAATCTCTTTTTTAGTTTTCTTCACTGTATATAATTTTCAAGTTTAATTTAATTTTCCAGTATAAAAAATCGATTGATAAATATCGTATTACTCTTCTTATATCATCCTTCCTCTTTTGTATAATACATTGGATAGCATACATAGTTGTTACGACAGATAATCGTCGTCGAGAAAGGTTTCTAAAAAACCGATCAATCTATTTTGAAGAGGAAAATGTTCCTGGAAATATTCCTAAACCTCCCACTATTCGATCGTATGGCGCAACTGCAAATCGAGATGATGAAATTGGTGTTTTAAATAACGACGACAATAATTAGAGGAAATAAATAGAATATATTTATTTTAATTGTAAAGTAGTTCTTTATTATACTGTAATTCTATCATACAAACATTATCATTTTTATAATAAATAATCATATCGTGTAAATAATAATTTTAAGAACGAGTGATTGTGACAATTAGATAAAATCTATGTGTTATATGGACACTAAACCATACTTAGGGAAGACAAAATTAAGCAACAATACAATATAAAATACTTAATCACATTTATCACATGATGAGAATTGCCACGTGTATTGCAAAAAATGTCTGAATTTCACAGTTACGATACCATCTATAATATCTACAAGTGAATCCTTTTGAACGTTTATTATGGTTCCATTTTTTAACAATTTGTACACTTTCTACAACAGTGGTAACTGATCTGCTTGTTATCATCAATTTCTATGTCCATTTGTTCTTTCGCTTTGACCTCTAATGTGAAATTTAACTATGCAGAAAAATAAGAAAGGTTAGTTTATGTGCAAAGTCGATTAAAAAAAAATATATACATAATTGGATCTTCAATTAACGTATATGGTGTGCATTAGGATAAAGAAGACCAGAGATGGTGATGGAGGTGGTATCCTGAGATAGGTTCCTGAAAAGAAAAATCAACTGTCAACCAGATCTGTAGAATGTAGATTTGAAAATGTAATAAAACCATGATTTAAAGGTCCTTAAAATACTTGAGTTTCCATTATAATAAATTTTGATGCATTCTTTGCAGTGTTGTTCATTGTACATCCAATCGGATATATATCCAATTTGTCTATTGTATTATTTGATTTGGACAATATGGACATTATCTGAACATTCATCCAATAGTCCCGTTGGATGACCAAATATGACATTATCTAATTATATAAATTAAACATTGTCCAAATCAAGCATTGGTTCATTGTGTATGAAAAAGTGCAATGAACTCATTTGTGACTTTTTAAACTTTAAATTCCCAACTAAACTTTTAAGTTAGTTATCAATCAATCCTTTTATATCCTCTCAACGCATAAACCAATGTCCCCAATTTTAAACATAAAAGGTTGATATAAGTTGGTAATATTAAGTCTGAATTTCAAAATTAATTGGTTACTTCACAAGAAAAAAAAAATTGCATTCCATGATTGAAAGGTGGGTAAAGTACTGCAATTGATATACAGTATAATAGGGTTCGGGATTCCCTAAATGGCAATTGTTATTTTATATCTGGAATTTGGTATATTAAATGTTTATCAAGATTTTAAGTGGCATATTGTTATACTCAGTGAAGAAACTCAAATCCATAAACAGGAAAGAAACACATATTATACGAGCAGCAATAATGAAGCCTTTAATAACATATGGTAGTACACTGGTAGTACAGTATTTATTTCACTAAGAAAAATATCCTGCTTCAGATAACATTAAAGCGTTTAAGGATTTTAAAATGAAATTAATGAATTTCACGGTATATCCAAATGCAAATTATCTTATGTACCTTATGTGATTCATTGAGAATTTATAAAATGAAATATAATGAGCTATATATGTTCATTATTATTTGATTGCCATTATTGATTCACCTAATTCATTCTTTTTCCGATCTACATGAAGATTTTAATAATTTATTTCGTTCATGATGATGAAATCATATAAAAAGCATTTATTCTTGTATATCTTTTTACTTGCATTATTCATTAATACAATTTTTATTAGAAACAAAAATAATATTCTTTTTATTGGAAGGAATAGTAAAAAATTTTTTAAAAAAAATAAATTAAAATAAAATATAAATAAAAAATATTAAAAAAAAAAATAAAATATAAAAATCAAAAAAAAAAATTACTAAATGTTTTTTTGTAATTCAAAAATCCCGGAATCCGCCACGTATTATGAGTTTGAGGATTTATAATACCCAAATTTGTAAAAAGTCAATAATAAAAATCACAATGATCACGACACAAATGGATTTCGGAATAAAATATTAAATTTCCGGGTAGTTCGTAATACCGTAAAAAATTGAAAGGTTTTTTGTATTTATTAAGTCAAACAATTGGGGGTCAGCTGAATTGAATTTTTGTATCTAGCCAATCAATATTAAACACATTATTAAATAAATCCGCTGTTGTTAAAAACGTGTAGTATAAATACACCATTTTCTCATTATTTCCTTGTTAGAATATTATATATATATATAAATATAAAAAAAATAAAATTAAATAGAATAAAATTTCTTTCTTTGAATATTAAAAAAAAAATTAGACAATGAGAGTTCATTGTTTTGTTTTAGCAATTGTACCATTTTTTTTAACTACAACGTCGTTAGTTTTTGCTGAAAAGTCGGCACAGCAACACCTTGACGAGGGTAACGAATTTCTTACGAACGGTCAATACGATGATGCATTAAAAAGCTTTGGAGCTGCAATTAGTAAGTATGATTTTTAAATATTAAATTATTTTATCAAATAACCATTTTTTGATAATTTATCTATTAATTATTATAGATCAAGACCCAGATAAATACCTTTCTTACTATAAACGTGCTGTAACTTATTTATCTTTGGGTAGAAGTGCAAATGCTTTACAAGATTTTACAAAAATCTTGGAATTAAAACCAGATTTTGATCAAGCTTTGTTACAACGTGCTAAATTATATTTAAAGGATGGATCTTTAACTGAGGCGAGAAGAGATTTACAAAAATTTTTGAAGAAGAACGATAAGGATGTTGACGTTAAACAATTGGTATTTATAAATTTTTAATAAAATTTGTAATAATATATTAATGATTAATGTCAATTATTAAATATATACGTATTTTTTTTTTATAAAAAGTTACAATCAATTGATCAAGCTGAAAAAATGATAAAAACTGCTGATGAAGCCCTTGCTAATAAAAAATATGAAGAATGCATTGATTCTGTATCTAAAGCTATAATTACTTCACCACGTTCATCTCGTTTAAGACTGGTGAGAGCAGAATGTCATTTATCAAAAGGAGACATGGAAGAAGGGGCCAGGGATTTATCGTAAGTGATGTTCAAAATTTTTATAATATTTTATAAAATTATTTATCTTTTTATTTTTTATTTTTTATTTTATTTCTTTAGGTCAGCTTCACAATTGAATCCAAATGACTTAGATCTATTAGTTCGTCTAGTTAATATTAATTACTTTACACTGTATAATCCTAATCAATCATCAAAATATATTAAACAATGTATAAAAAATGATCCAGAAAATAAAGTATGTAAAAACCTTAAAAGGAAAATAAAGCAATTTGAAGATAAAGTAAGTAAAATTTCAAACGACATTGAAGGACAAAGATTCTTAGCATCTGTTAAAAAATTGATCGGTGCAAAAGAATCTAAAGGCCTCATTAATGAAGTCGACGAAGAATTAAAAACATTATCAGAAGGAAATAAAAAGAGCGAATTACTAATGAAATTATATGCTTGGGCATGTAAAGCGTACGCTGAGGTTAATATTTTTTTTTGTTTTATACGTGTTTACATATGTTTTTTTTAAGTATTTTAAAATATTTTATATTTATCTTTTTTTATATACATATATATAGACAAAAGATAAATCGAAAGAGGCGGTTAAATGGTGTAGTGAGACATTAAAATTGGATGAAAATAATGTAGAAGCGTTGATAAATCGTGGTGAAGTATATCTTGTTGAAGAGAATTATGAAGGTGCAATAGAAGATTTTAAGAAAGCGCATGATTTAACACAAGGACAAGATAGTCGAGCTTCAAAAGGATTCCAAAAAGCAAGTCGTTTACATAAACAATCAAAGAAAAAGGACTATTATAAAATATTAGGAGTACCAAGAAGTGCTAGTAAAAAAGAAATCAAAAAAGCATTTAGAAAATTAGCTCATGAATGGCATCCCGATAAACATAGAAATGACATGACAGTTGAACAAGCTGAAGCTAAAATGGCTTCTATAAATGAAGCTTATGAAGTATTAAATAACGATGGTAAGCTGAATAATGAAATTTTATTAAAAATATTTGATTTTTTTGACAAAATATTAAAAATAAAATTTTTCCTTTTTTTTTATAGAATTAAGAGCTAAATTTGATAATGGAGAAGATCCAAATGATCCAAATGGTGGAGGACAACCATTCTTTTATTCTGATAATAATCCATTTATGCAATTTGCTAGAGAAGGATTTCATTTTGGTGGAGGTTTCCCCTTCGGAGCTTCTGAAGGTGGTGAAAGTGGTAGTCACCAATATTTCTTTAAGTTCCCCTAAAGAAATTTCTTTTATTTTAAGTCAAATATTTCTCGGCATATTTTCGTAAAGAGACAATTGTGACATCTCATTTTACAAGATTTTTAAATAAATTCATTAGTGTTAAAATTAATAGGTTGATTGTTCATATATACACTGTATATATATATATGATAAATGTGAAAATCAATTTAATTTAATTACGAAGAATCAAATTACTTGCACTATTATTATGTAATGTAATGAAAGTTTTGTCATTTCATGTTACACGTAAAAGGGTGATTATTAATAAATAATATTGAATTGAGATAAGTACCGTAATAAAATAATCGACAAGAATATCATGTATTGTCATATTGGTAATACAGTGACTTCATTACGCATTTTTTTTTTATTCTAACAATCAACATTTGATATTAAATGTACAGTAAATTAAAATTTATTTATCATAAGATTAAAGAAAATAATATGAACGGGAAAATAATGGATGGGCTAAGTAGTAACACCATGATGCAAAGCCTTTTGATCCTTCATTTCGGGGGCTGTTTGGCTTGTTCTTCCAGTATACGCATCTTTTCCTTTTTTTTTTGTATGAAATTTTTTACCCGAAATAAATAAGTAAATAAATAAATAAATAAACAAAAAATCAGTATTAGAAATTATATACTATACTAACTATGCTATCACCATGCCACGAAGGATCACACAATATTTTTTGAGTGTGAACACTTTGAGATAATAAACCAATCCATAAATCAAGTAATTGATCTGTTTGTTCAACCGTTGTATAAAATTGCTTTTACGCGAATAATAATAATAATATAATAATAAAAACGCGTAAAATTATATATTAATATTTTTTTTCAAATACGCGACAATAAAAATTTCATAAATTTAAAGAAAATACCTGTAAATTAATTCTTGCTTGATTCATATTATTATTAATTTTTCCAAACATCTCATTCATCTTTAATAAAGATTTATATTCTTTTTTTAAAGAATTTTCCACATTTTCATTACCATTAGTCAAATAATCTGGTAACATATTTTCAAATGCTACCGAAGAATTATTTGAGCAATTAGAAGATATAGGAGAAACATTATCATCCTTTGTAAAATAAAAATCATCAAGATGATAATTATTATTATTATTATTATTATTATTCAATATTAAGGAGTCAAAATCATTATTAATTTCTTTAGCGCGAGGAGTAATATCATCCTTATACCAAATTAAAGAATCATTATCATTTAATAATGAATTATCAGGAAATTCTTGATCATTAATAGTTGGTGTTGATACTCCAATAGGACTTGACATATTTTAATAAAACTTCCGAGATGTCTTAAAAAGAGTTTCAAGATCAAAATATTTTTAGTAATATTTTTATGATATAACTTTTATAGGAAAAATGATAAACGATCATGCAATCATTTCGTGATAAATTACCATAATTGGATGTGCTTACGTAGACGTTGTACAAGTTGGGATTTGATATACATGATATACATATGTATACTATATGTATATGTATGTATACCGGTATATAATATATATACTTTATATATATATTATAAATATATACGGTACAAGATACAATATATTTATAACAATAAGTGATGGAGGTGGAATTTCTTTACGCAGGGCTTATTCTTCCTTTCGGGTTGTTGCCTGGGCTTAATCAAAATCATCTTTGGCTCTGTTTTTGTTTATTTGGGCTTTAATTTTGGCTTTAATATTGGCTTTAATTTGGGCTTTTTTCCTTTTATTCATTTGTATGTTATGCTTTAATTGTTATATCTTTATTCTCCGTTAATAGGCTTAATCCGAAAAAAATTGATCCGGAATAAATTATACTGATTTTTGAAAATTGTAAATCAAAAAAAAAAAAGAGAGATATCAAATAATAATCAATTAAATTTGATGCCAATAATTTAAAATCTTAATTTGTCAATCATATGCATATAAGAAAGTAAAAAGATTAATTAAGAAATGATCTTTCATCCAAGTTTCCTAAATTGATTTGTTTACTTTTTTTTACGATATTTCAATAAATTAAAAATTATCGGGATCTGAATGAAAATTATATTTGTTTTATTTGTTGTTTGTTTAAAATAGATAAAAGAATTAACAAATTTGAACTGGTTTACTGTGCCATGGACCTTTTCCCGTCTTAAAAAGGCTTATGATCTGCGGCTGATGAAAAATCAAAAAAAATATCTATTTTCTAAATTGCGTAATAATTATAATTTAATTTTTTTAAAAATTAACATAATCATTTTTTTTTTTTTTTCGTTTTAAAAAAAAATCTATAAATTATTTTTTAATTTACCAAATTTATATATATATTTTATTGTTTAAAATGTAATTATATATAATATTTTTTTATATTTAACATCAATTAATATTACCTCTTTTTGTAATTTTGTAATATGGTTTTTACCAAATTAGAAAACAATAGCAAAAAGTTTTTTCATGAGGCTTAACAATTTATGCAATTGATCTAAGCTCAATAGATTTTTAGCAATATTTAATTTACAAATCACATTTTCACACGCAAAAATTCCAGTTACTCCGAGTTACGCTGGAAAAAAACTTGTAAAAATTGAAAAAAATATACATTTTACATAAATGTATAAAATATAAATTTTCAAGTTGAAAAAGTTGAAACAACTCTTAATGTATGACAATCAATCACTCGTGATTTTATAAGAAAACACACTGAATTATATAAAAAAAATCGATTATCATGCCTAAGATACCCGAAAAAAAAAAAAATATATATACGCCACCTAAAACTTTTGATCTCTCTTATATATATATATAGTTTTTTTTACCCCGTCTCAAAAAGGAATTAAAAATAATTTTCTTTTCACTTTCTTTTTCTTCTTATTATTATTATTATTATTCTCTTCGTTAAATTTGTAATATGGAAGAACCTTTTCAACTTACCGAATTTGTAAAAAGACCAGGTGTTGGTCATGTTGGAAAACAAATGAAAGTTCGAACAAATTTCTTTGAAATTACTTCATTACCGGAAATGGAGATTTTACATTACGATGTTACGATAACACCTGAGGTCCCTCAGCAACTAAATAGAAAAGTATTTGACCTTTTTTCGGAGCAAAACCGAACTGGAGCCCTTGGTAATGCGAAACCTGTATTTGACGGTACGTGTTCAATAATAAAAAGGTTACTCTGTTTTCCTTCAACAATTTATCAATATCATATGATGTCTAAATATATGCTTGTATTAAGAGAGTACTAACTAATAATAAATGGTTTGTAGGAAGGAAAAATATGTTTGCTCACAAATCCTTGCCCTTTGGACAAGCTGCTACTTTCGATGTAAATTATCTTTATTTGTTTACTTTTTTTTTTTACTTGAAAAAAAAAATTTCTAAATTTTATTTAACAAAATTAGGTGCATTTAGAAGAAGATGACTCTCCCATAGGAAGAAAACGTCCTCCACGAGAATTTAAAATCAAAATAAGAAAAACTGGGCAAGGTATTAATATGGAGGAATTAACTCAGTTTTTACACGCGAGAGGACGTATGACCAGTAACTGTCAAATGGGTAAGTTTTTTTTTTTCTCTTTTCTTTCTTTTTAATAGAAATGAGAAACTCATAATGGATCATTATCTTATTTATTTAATAAGCGATAATGGCGATGGATGTTATTATCCGTCACAGGCCTTCTACAGTACATACTACTGTAGGTAGATCATTTTATACTCCGCAGGGAGCTCAACTCCTCTATGGAGGTGCAGAAGTGTGGCAAGGGTATTACCAATCAGCGCGTCCCACGAGAGGAAGGATGTTGATCAATATCGATTTAAGCGCTACTGCTTTCTATGAACCTGGTCCACTCGTTCAAATTGTCGCAAAGATGTTGGGACGTAGATCTCCTGATGATTTACAAAGAGGCATTACAGATAGGGAGCGTCTAAGACTTGAGAGGACTATAAAAGGTCTTAAAATAAAGGACACTCACAGATCGGGAAATAGACGAAAATTTAAAATTGAAAAATTAACTCCAACCCCCGCTTCACAAACAATGTTTGATAGAGGTGACGGTAGTAACGTGGATGTTAAAACTTATTTTCAAGAGGCTTATAACAAACGTTTATTATATCCATTCCTTCCTTGTGTTATTGTAAGGAGAAATGTTTATCTACCGATGGAAGTTTGCGAAATTATTCCGGTAAATTATATAATTCATCTAGCAATATCACATATGATTATAAGAATTTTTTTTTTTTTTACAATAATCCATTTATTTTATATAATAGGGTCAGCGACATATTCGTAAACTGGGTGAAAGACAAACAGCTGACATGATTAAATTTACTTGTCAGCAACCGTCAATGCGTGCAAATAAGATCCGAGCTGGTCTTGATATATTAAATTATCGAGGTAATGAATATCTTCAACAGTTCGGGATGAGGATATCAGCCGATATGCTGTTGGTAGGTTGAAATATGATTATTGCATTATAGAATAAATTATTATCATATCTTCAAATAACACGAATTTAATCTTACAGGTGAATGCCAGAGTTCTTCCCACACCAACGATTCAGTACCACCCGTCATCAAGAGAACATCATGTTCAACCGAGGGATGGATCATGGAATTTACGAGATAAAAAAGTTGCAACCGGTGCCACCCTCGGTTCATGGGCAGTTTTGGCCTTTTTAAGTCAAGATGATTTACCCGATCTATCTGTAAATACGTTCGTTAGAGAATTAGTTAATACATGTCAAGACACTGGAATGGTAAATTTTATACACTTTTTTTTTTTTTTTTAAAAAAAATCGTTCAAGTTCATATCTAATAGTATACTATTATAATCTTATTTTAAAACAGAATATTCCAAATAGGAACCCTCCTGTATTACACGCTAATCCTCAAGGAAATATTGAGGAATCATTAAAACAAGCCTGGCTAAAAGCTGGTAATACGGCCAAAGCTCAACCGCAGCTAATCATTTGTATTCTCCCAAACACGGGAACACCATTATATGCCGAAATTAAACGTGTTAGCGATACGGTTATAGGTGTCGCAACACAATGTGTTCAAAGTCGACACACGATGCAGGCGAAAAAACAATATTGTGCTAATGTTTGCCTAAAGATCAACGTTAAATTAGGAGGAATGAATTCATTTCTCAGTCCAAGTCAAATTCAATTTATATCAGACAGACCTACTATATTGATGGGAGCTGACGTTACTCACCCTTCACCTGGTAAATTATTGTTTCTTTTTTTTACATGAACTATTTTCACATAGATTAATAATCTCGTATCTCTTCTTAGGCGACAGAGATCGTCCATCTATCGCAGCCCTTTGTGCTTCTATGGATGCTAAAGCATCCCGTTATGCAGCTTCAATTAGAGTACAAACCGGTCGTACCGAAATAATCGCTGATTTAGCAAATATGGTGAAAGAATTGTTAAAAACTTTTTATCAGACTTGTGGGCGAAAGCCCGAAAGAATTTTATTTTACAGGGACGGAGTTTCAGAAGGCCAGTTTAGCCATGTGTTAAAGAATGAAATAATCGCGGTTAGAGGTACTTAATATATATTATTCCTCGATTTATTCATTGCTTTTCGTTAATTTGAATGATTATCATTTTGACCAATTTTAATTACTACAGCCGCATGTCAAGCTCTCGACAATAATTATAAACCTACCATCACATTTGTTGTGGTGCAGAAGAGGCATCACACACGTTTTTTCCCAATAGATAGGCATAACGCTGATAAAACAGGAAATTGCCCTCCTGGTACAGTGGTCGAATCAGATATTACGCATCCGTTTGAATTCGACTTTTGTAAGTAATGAACTTATATTAATATATTAAATTTATAGTATTTCTAAATTACTTTAAATCCTTATCAGATTTACAAAGTCATGCCGGGTTACAAGGAACGTCACGACCAACCCACTATCATGTTTTATTTGACGAGAATGGGTTTAGCTCAGATATGTAAGTTAATTTAATTTAATTTAATTATATATAACTAAATATAAAATAAACTAATCAATGTATTTAATAATTTAGGCTACAAACGATATCATATAATTTGTGTTATTTATATGCGCGGTGTACGCGTGCGGTATCTTTGGTAAGATTTTTGCATTTTTTTGTTATTGTATGCCGTAAATGATAATAATTATCTCCTATTTAAATAGGTACCTCCGGTATATTACGCACATTTAGTTTGCACTAGAGCAAAATTCCATTCACGCGGCGAACATTGGAGTGATACAGAATCGTCCGAAGAAGGTACGGGTGCCGCGGTAACATTCGGAGTGGTAAAGCAGGAACTACAAAGGGTAAATTATAAATAAATAAAGATATCTTAAATGTGTATTATTTTCAATTATCTCATATTCTAACTTTTGAAAATAAACTCTCCTTTTTTAGGTCATGTACTTTATGTAGAAACTTCACTTATGTGAAACAAAGTTATCTGGAACGAAAAGGAAAAAAAAATTAATTTTCATTATAAATAAATAGGAAATTTTTAAAAAGAAACTTATTAAATAATAAGTTGTATTTAGTCACATTAATATTTTGAATTTTATCTATTGAATTATTTAGTTTGAAAAAAACAATTTTTCTGTATATTGTTTCTCTTATTTGTAAAAATTATTATAAAAACAAAAAAAAAAATAAACTTTCTTAGATAAGTAACAATGTAAATTTTACACGTTGTCCGTAAAAGATATAAATATATGATAATGTGGTAATTGATTGTGTAAATCACACTTATTTTGTAAAAGTAAACATGGTTTCGCATATTCATTGCATAAACTTATGAAAGAGTAATAGAATTGAATGATTTATACAGATGTGGTTTTATCTATCGAATTCAAGAAAGATACTGATCAATTTACATGAATATTACGAAAGAATTGAAGAAAAGAATAAAAAAAAAATGAGAACTTTATTTTATGACCGAATTTATCGTATATAAAAAAAATTTTTTTTAATTAGCAATCCTTATTTGGAAGTAGTAGAAAAATATACGGTATAGGTAAAATTTAATTCCCGGATGGAAGATCATAATATATGTTAATTAATCTCTGGATACACGATCGCTTCGTCCGAACGATCAAAAAATTTGTTCACATTTTAGGAATTTCATGACAGTAGATTATTATGTGTATGCTTATGAAACAGGTTTTCGCAAATCATAACGGATTTGGCCGAATTCGATGCTCAAAATGGGCACAGGAATGAAATTTTAGGGTTAACCGTCTTGGCTTTATTTATTTATGTATTTTTTAACTTTTTTTTGCTTCCGATCTCAAAACTCTTATTAAAAAATGACTGAATTTCTTCAATTACAAGTTAAGAATGAGGATAAAACTATAAATTTATCTTTCAATAATGATATATTATCTTTTGAGAAAAAGAAAAATTTTAAAGGCACAAACAAACCTATAAGCATACCTGCTAGGAATATTCTTTCCGTTACTTTAAATGATTCTCGTATAATTATCAACGCACTTGTTCCAAAAGATAAATTAAAATTAAAGTTAAAAACTTATTCTTTTGAACTCAATGACGAGAGTGCCGCACAAACATGGAAAGATACTGTTAATTTAGCTGCATATAAAGGTATATAATTTTATTTGAAAACAATAAAATTTTGTTATTATTAACGTGAATATATAATCTTTATGATTTTAGACACGAAAAAAGCAAAACATCTTAAAGTATTTATTAATCCTATTGGAGGTTCGGGTAAAGCTAATAAGATTTTCAACAAGATAGCTAAACCTATCTTTGATGCAGCAAATTGTACTTATGATATTACTTGTTAGTATTATCAATAATTAAATTTATAATATCAATTATCTTGGATTTTAGATCTACTAATAATTAGCCATAATTTTGTAGTGACTGAACATTCTAATCACGCAAAAGAAATTGCAAATAAATTAGATTTAAAACCTTACGATGCAATTGTTTCGGCAAGCGGTGACGGTATAATTCACGAAATAGTTAACGGACTCTTGTCACGTCCTGACGCGCTCGAAACCGATATCCCAATAGGCGTGATTCCTGCAGGTAATTATTTTGTATTCGAATATAATTTTATATATAATAACGCGTTTGAGATTTTTATAGGTACTGGTAATGCATTAAGTATTTGTCTTTTGGGAAACGATTATGGTAATAGCGTACCACATGCAACTTTAAACATAATCAAAGGTAAAATTTTATATAAGATTATGTTCCTTTAAGTAATCTTTTTTGAATTCAAATTTTTTTTTTTTTTTTAAAAAAAAAAAGGCGTTCCGATGAAAATTGATGTATGTTCTATTACGCAAGATGAAGAAAGATATTTTGCTTTTATGTCACTGAACTATGGTATTATGGCGGATGGAGATATTTCGACTGATCATTTGAGGTATTTGTTTCCGTGTCCTAAAGATTGAAGTAATTTAATCAATTTTTTTCTAATGTTGAATCTCTAATATTTAGATGGATGAAAGATTCTCGATTTGTTCTTGGAACCATACAAGCATTATTGGAAAATCGAAATTATGACTGTGAACTAGCAATGAAAGTTGTTGAAGATAATATTGAAAGAATTAGACAAGAATATAATAATGTTTATAATTCTTCACCCAGTTCTATAACAGATATACAAGATAAACCTAGAACACTTGTAAATAAATATGGGACTGTAAATGATTCAAATCCAATTAAAGAGTGGACTAAATTAGATGGTGATGGATATTTTTTCTTTGCAGGTAAAGTTCCATGGGTATCTAAGAATAATCTTGCTTTCCCTTTTGCATTACCTTCGGATGGACTTTTAGATTTGATGATAGTTAAACGAGATAAAATATCAAAAACGAAAGTTATTAATATATTACAAGCATTTAATGATGCAAGTCACATCAACATGAAAGAGGTAAACATAATAACATTAAATGTACATGAGGATTATCAAATCACGAAGAGATTTATTAATTTTTAACATTTTCATAACTCTTTAATAGGTTAATTATTACAAAGTTGAGGCCTTTCGTTTAACTCCAAAAAATAAGGAAAATGGATATATTAGCATTGATGGAGAGAAAGCTCCATTTAAACCTTTTCAAGTCGAGGTTCTTCCTAAAATAATAAATATAATTAGTGTAAATGGGAAATATTCTACTTAATTTATTAAGAAAATAACTACGTTTAACCGGACCCTCCGCTAATATTTATTAGAGTTTAAGGGTTAGGTTAGGGGTAAGGTTTATTTATCACAACGTATCACCCCCACGGTCTTCATTTTTGTCAATTAAATCTGGGGACTTGGAAATTTTTTGTTATTAAAAATCCTATTTGTCCCTCCTTATTCGTCACAGGAGGAATTTCCCTCTGGTTTATTAATACTTTTTCTTTAATATATAATTATAATTATAAATATTGTAATATATAATTTGTATATTAACAAATGAATTGAACGTAATGAAAGGATTATATATTATATGAATTCAACTGTAGTCTAATCGCATTGACATAAATTTAGAATGCATCCATCCTATTTTTATTTTCGTTATTATATAATTTGATATTGATAAATAAATAGAGTAAAATGTTGTTGATTTATTATATTTATTTTTGTTTCATTTTTAATTAGAGAAGCAAAATAATAATTGTCACTTGAGATTTCCGGTTGTCTTATTTCATAAATTGACAGACAAATTTTACCGTCGTATTTGAAGTTTTTCGTCACGACCAAATTCAAATGAAATTGTATTATTTAATGTATATATGAATGTGGGTGGTATGATGTTATTTTAATGCCAAAATTACTTTATTACATGATGAAAAATTACATGCAACTATTAATGTACATAATTTATTTGTTAACACTTTAGTAACAAAAAAAACTGTATCATAATATTTTATAGTATAAATTTGATAAATTTGCTATAAATCACTGAAATCTCTATAAATCAATAAAATCAGTTATATTAATTTCAAATTGTTATAAATATAATACTATATTTTATAAATGGTTTTAATTTTTTTTTATTATAACTTTACTAAAATACACCACTAGTGCTTAACACCATAGTATATACAAAAATTATGCCCTAAATTAAAAAGTTGCTCTAATTAAAATTGCTTAGCACCCTTAAAAATAGTGAGAAAAAAGGTATTATTCTTTATGCTGCAAATATTGATATGTAAGTAAAGTATATATTGCAACTGTAATATAAAATATAATTATTATATTATTAGCTTAATCAGACTATTAATAATATGGAATAAAAAGTTAGGGTAATAAATAAAAAATATAATTTTTAATTCTTTATTATTTCCACTTTATTATTATTAATTTTATTATTACTTTTTTGTTTTTATTATTACTATTATTATTATCCCTATTTTTTTCTTTTATTTTCTTAGTTTTTTTAGTTTTTTGTTATATTTACTGTATTTTGATTTTTGATTTTGCAGCTTTTTTCTGAATTCTAACTTTACAATCACAATTTGTTAAATTTCCTATTACATGTTACATTACAATAAAAAAAAATCATATTTACTATAAAATTACATAGTATTTTTAATTGAAATGGTTTTTTTTAACACTATTTATCTATAAATATAAAGAACCAATGTAAACATATAGTGTAATATATTTTTATTCGGATATATACTTAAAAGAAGGTATAATTTTAATAAAACTATTTATTATTAATATAAATATATAATTAAACAAAATGAAATATAGAATAGTTGTAACAAAAGGAAAGTTGTTGTTTTAACATCCGTGTAACCCGTTATTTTTGCCAATAAATAGTGTAGGTATATAAATAGCTAAAAATATCAATAATTATTAACTTAATTGATAAGTTTTGTGTAGAGAAATTTTTTCAATTATTTATTATTGTGATGAATAAAATAAACTCTGAAAAGTATTGTACTTAAAATATACTTTATACCTAAAATATACGAAAGTATATATTAAGTATTTTTAAATACTTTTCATAGAAAATCCTCTTTAGCGTGAGACCCGTGACAAAAAAAAGTATGCGATTATGATTTGAGTTTTATTGTTAATTATGGCTTATATATTGAATTGTATGGGAATATTATAATATAAACACAAAATAAAGCCCACGGATACAGGTATAGAATTAATTAATTATTATATGCCTTTCCTTAATGAAAGGTTTTATGACTCGTTCACTGTCAAGACAAAAGTCTCATTGTCCTAAAAATATCGTAGAATGAAGTTACGCCATAGTTAGTCAGAATTACACATCTTCCTCAATAATATCTGTCAAAAAAACCATCTTTTCGTTATTGCGCCACTTTTAGCACTTATAGTCTAAACATAAACGACTTAATTATAAACAAATATTGCAATTTTATACTACCATATATAAGCCGACAATGATTCGCAGTCGATCTATAAAAAATTTCCCATGCACGGATCAACTATAAATTAATAGGTAAATTAAAAATTACCAAATTTTTTCTCGTCAAAAATTTAGTTCAAAATGTATTCAGAAGTCACTCTCAATACCATTAATGAAAGCGGCCCTTTCCTTACTACTCTACTTCTTAGTGTACAAGATCGTGTAGGTGTTTTGGATGAATGCTTACGTTCTATCAAGAATTTAAACATTTCTTTAACCAGAATCGAAAGGTAATTTTAATTTATCCTCATTTATCATTTAATATGTTCTTTTTTTTCACTTATACGTATGTAAATTTTTGCGCTTTACAGTCGTCCAAGTAGGACTCCTGGTTGGGACTATGACTTTTTTGTTGACTTTAGTGCTGAAAATACGGAACAAATTGTTCGCGTTTCTGAGACTTTAAAAGGGATTACGAACCAAGTCAAAGTTGTAAGTGCGAGTCCAACCAGTGCAACAGTAGGTATGTTCTTTTTTTTTTCTTTTTTTTTTCTTTTAAAAAAAAAATAATTCAATTTTTAATATTAATGTGAATATCTTATACGATATGATTATAACAATTTAGGACAGGTTCCGTGGTTCCCACGTAAAAAATCTGATCTTGATACCTATGCAAATAAAGTTTTGGAGATGGGTGAAGAACTTGGTAAAACACAATTACCATTAATAATATATTTCTTTGGTAATGATTGGCCATATGTTTTTTGACAAAATGTTACTTGTTCATTACAGACTCTGATCATCCTGGTGCAAATGACCCTGTTTATCGCGCACGTCGTTCTGAAATTACGCGTATTGCCAAAACTTACCGTCACGGACAACCTATCCCAGATATTCAATATAAACCCGAAGAGATCGCCACGTGGGGAGCTGTTTTTCGCAATTTGACAGCTTTATATCCTACTCATGCTTGTAGAGAACATCAATATGTTTTTCCTTTGTTAATTCAAAATTGTGGTTATAATGAAAATAATATTCCGCAATTAGAGATTGTATCAAAATTCTTGAAAGGTTCGCGAAAATATTTATGGAACAATACGTGTTAGCTTTGAATGTCATTTTTGTTGATTTTAATTTTTTCATTTAGAATGTACTGGTTTTACTCTACGACCTGTAATGGGCTTACTTACATCACGTGATTTCTTGAATGGTCTCGCGTTTCGAGTTTTTCATTCCACTCAATATATTCGTCATCATTCAAGACCATTATACACGCCAGAACCGTATGTATTGTGTTGACTAGAATTTATTAATAATGAATATATTAATAATTTTATCTTTTTTTTTCAGCGATGTGTGCCACGAGCTACTTGGTCACGTGAGTATTAGAAATTACTAAAAAATTTCCGTGATCTATTAGGAAATAATTATATAAATAATTTGAATGATTTTGTTTAGGCTCCATTATTTTGCGATCCGGATTTTGCCGATTTTTCTCAGGTAATGTTTTTATATTATTTATATTTTCATAATAATATATTAAATAAATTCACTGTATATTATTAGGAAATTGGTTTGGCTTCATTAGGTGCTAGTGACGGAGATATTGAAAAGTTATCTACGGTAAAATTTACAAACATTTTTAGTCCGTCTCGATTTTTAAGCTTTTAATCACGGAATTGACATTCTAAAAAAATGTGATAATTTTCTTTTAAAAGATCTACTGGTTTACAGTAGAATTCGGTCTTTGTCGTCAAGGAAGTGATATTCGTGCATTTGGTGCTGGTCTATTATCTTCCTTCGGTGAATTGGAAGTAAGTTAATTCGAAAAAGAAAATCACTAAAATTATTCTTGATGTTATTCATTTTTCATATAATTTGTAAATTTTTTTTTTTTTTTAATAGTATGCTTTATCTGATAAACCTGAGAAACGACCATTTGATCCTTCCAAGACTGCTTTACAAAAATATATTGTAACAGAATATCAACCGGTAAAAAAAAAAGCTTTATATCATGATTGTTATCGTTATTATATATACTTAAATAACAATTTGTGTTTTTTATAAAAAAAGATTTACTTTGTCGCAGATTCCTTTAAAGATGCTCAGCAAAAAGTTCGTGAATTTGCAAAAACATTGAACAGACCATTTTCTGTAAGATATAATCCATACACTGAAAGTGTTGAAGTTTTGGATAACAAGGTAAAAAAATTTTTTTCTTTTTCTTTTAGTTTGAACTAATGAAAAATTTTCTAGAAATTACTTTTTATTGATTAAAATTAATTTACAAATTTTTTTTAGGAGAAAATTATAAGATACACGCAAAATATAAAAAATGACATGACCATTTTAATCGATGCACTAGAAAGAATAAACTAAAATATGTCGTATTAATATAGTAAAATAACTTATTTAACAAGTGATTATTGATAATAATAATAATAATAAAGTTTCCAGAAAAAAAAAATTGGTATTTTTTTTTAAAAAAAAATAAATAAATAAATGTTCAAGTTTTAATTCTATTGTCCAAAGATATTCCTGTCAAGTTATTAATATCACTCGAATTTGAGCGAACCCCATCTTGACTTCCTCTTTCTATTTGGTTTGCAACTTCAACAGCTGCGGGTTTAACCCATCCTGGGGGATCCGCAACACATTTAGTTACTGGATTAACCCATCCTTCATATTTCTCAAAAATAGTATAATCAAAAGTCTTAAATTTTTCTTCAATTAATTGATAATTTTCAGCTCCTTCACCATCTTTACGTCTCTTTGGTTTTCGACGTCTAACTCTTGCCTCTAAAGGTTGTTCCTCCAGAAGTAATTCTTCTAAGTCATAAGTAGCGTCAAAGTTGATGCGATCTGATGAAGGTTTAAAAACTGGATTTATACGTTTATTTTCTAACGCAGGCCAGTCAATATTTCGGAAAAATGGATGTGTTTGAATAAGAGCAAACCCATTGGGACCGCATCCTAAACGACGAGAAATATCGCGTTCAAGAAACTTTTTAAAATTAAATGAATTAAAAAAGTCAATAAAATAGAATGAAAAGTATCGAGAAGGTATAAATCATCAATTAAGTACTACTCACTCCTTGAACCGCAGAAACACATGCCGGACTGACTGGAGGATCCATATCAGGATACTTTATTGGAGCTTTTAATATCAGTTTTTTTAATTCTTCTTGATTATCACATTCAAATGGACGCTAATAAATCAACATTAAAATTTTTCAGTTTAAATGTTTAACATTAAATTATAAAATATTTTTAACATTTCTTGATAAGAAAGAAAAAAAGATTATTACCCTTCCATATATACATTCATATAATACGACGCCAAGGGACCACCAGTCTACTGTGACTCCATAGCCGTTATTTCTAAACATTTCTGGAGCTGTTGATATTATAAAACGAAGTTAATTTTAAACGAATAATTTTTCTTTCTAAATGAAATTTTTTTTTTCAGGCTTACCCATATAAGCACATGTTCCAGAATGTGATGTTAAAGGCTTATCCGGCTTTATATGCGTCGCGATATTAAAATCTGTTATATGTACGTGTCCTTGATCGTCAAGAAGAACATTATCAGGTTTTATATCTCTAAAAATGAAAAAAATATATATATATTTATATATTGATGAGGGGTAAAAAAAAAATTTTAAGATATAAAAAAATATAGAAAACTAATTTCTACCTATGAACAACTCCTTTTGAATGTAAATATCTTATTGCACATGCTAATTCTGCTATCCAATATCGTATTGCGTCTTCAGTAAAAGTTTTTCTATTAAGGTGAAACCTTAAATCACCACCCATCCTATAAATTTAACGTTTTTTGTCGAAAAAAAAAAAA